ACAGGGTGTATCAAAAAAAGAAAAGCTTTAAAAATTTAACTATTGTTATAATTTAAATACCCCACCACTATGGATGCCTTTGGATGAGTAAAATATTGTCAGCTTAACCCCCTTTGTGCATATATTACATATCCTTGCCACACAAGCACAAAAGCCTTTTTGCTCTTGGGAATTTGACATAACTTTCTAAAGCAAAATTCTGAACAATAATTAATGCATGGTCAAAAAAGATTTTTTATCGTCCGCACTTACTATCCAGACGTAAGTACACTTGTGGTACAAAACACGTTTTGACAAAGGTTCTTGATCGAAATCCACCGTTGAAAAGCACAACCTTGAACAACGCCGGTGTGAAATCAATAATGAGCAGTAATAATTCGTGCCATGCATTAGATTTCATTTGATTGTGCATGCGCACACTAGCGAGCTTAGAAAATTAGGGCAGCAGGAAGATGTTTGAATAAATGCTCTTTTTTATGTGCCGAACCTAATGTTAATGAGCTAAAGTCTTTGTTCAAGGGTCAAGGTTTGTACTGAAGACTTCCGACTTCCTATATGCATGTATGTGACGATATGACGTATATCATTACGATGAAAAAAAATGGAAATGATTGGATTGTAGCTTTGTATGCTAATACTAATGAGTGAAGAACAACAAATATATCCGGGACACATTGGTACACAGCTCTCTATAGCAAAACTGTTCAGAGCCCAATGGCACATCTCTTGTGGCATTGGCCATGCAATGTGAGACAAGCTCTTTCACCGATTCCGACACTGTATTTCGGCTACAAATTCACATTTTTTGTCAGGCACGAAGTCACCTCCAACAATGTTCATTGCATCTCCTGCACTAAAATCTAAATGTGGTTGACTTTACATCACTAAACTGGAAGATCTCGAAGGGAAATGTTCAGTAAACAGTGTAGCCGTTGGTCGGTCAACGACCGCAATAACACGAAGCCTTTTGCCAGATGGCTTGACAAAAGAATAGTACGTCTAATAAAACAATGAAATATTTATGTCTCTCTACAATAAAAGGACTGAAAAACTTTCTTGAATAAGTCGATGTTGTTGAACAGCCGCTGTATATAAGATTTTGCATTAGATTTTATTCGATTGTGCATGCGCACACACGTGAGCTCAGAAAATTAGGGCCGCAGAAAGATGTTTGAATAAATGCTCTTTTTTTCATATGTCGAACCTAATGTTTATGAGCTAAAGTCTTTGTTCAAGGGTCAAGGTTTGTACTGAAGACTTCCGACTTCCTACATGCATGTATGTGACGATATGACGTATATCATTACGATGAAAAAAAGGGAAATTAAGTTGAATTGTAGCTTTGTATGCTAATACAAATAAAGAGTGAAGAACAACAAATATACCCGGGACACATTGGTACACAGCTCTCTACAGCAAAACTGTTCAGAGCCCAATGGCACATGCATCTCTTGTGGCACTGGCCATGTATGCAATGTAAGACATGCTCTTTCACCGATTGCGATACTGGTATTTCGCCTCCAAATTCACATTTTCAGTTTGTCAGGCACGAAGTCACCTCCAACAATGTTCATTGCATCTCCTGCACCAAATGTGATTTACTTCATAACACTAAACTGGAAGATCTCTAAGGGAAATGTTCGGTAAACAGTGTAGCCGTTAGTAGGTCAACAACCGCAATAACACAAAGCCTGCTGCCAGATGGCTTGACAAAACAATAGTACGTCTAATAAAACAATGAAATATTTATGTCACTCTACAATAAAAGGACTGAAAAACTTTCCTAAATAAGTCGATGTTGTTGAACAGCCGCTGTATATAATTCAACTGCGAAACTTCAACAAAGATGCTTTTGCGATGTGATTTGATGCATCACAAGAATGGTTTCCTGAATGTGATGGACTCGTGTTATTGATTCGTAAGATATTTGTATTTTGATTATATAAAACCTCGCCATTGTCATTGAATTATTATTTTAGATTTTTATTATTATTTAAAAAGTTCGGATTTAGTAGAAAGAAATACTAAATTGCAATGCGAAATGACAAATGACAATAGACTACACATGCACTGATATAAAATTACAATTTTAAATACCCTAGCCTACACTACTTTAGAGATAAGTTAAAAATTATTATATTTGTCAATCATTTACAATTCCACTGTTTTTAAATCTGAGTTCTACAGTTAAAATTATAAAATTTATCGCCACTTAGTCTTGTTACTTTTGACTTTACTTTAGTTTAGGTCATTAGGTGGCAACAAGAATGCGTGTATCTAAGGGCCATTCGTTTTTCGAGACACAGAAAAAAGAAAAACAGTCTTCAAACTCGTGTTTTCATTTTTCAATTGTATAAAATATTCTAGAAAACAAAACAGAACACGTTATAAGTTGTTGAAAGGGCCAGCCGTTTTCCACAAGCTTGAAAAACGAAAAAAAATCATCATTTCTATACTTTGAATTGCTCGAGCAACAAAAACGAATTTCGAAAAAAATTCTGTTTTTCGTTTTTCGTTTTTGGAAATGAGAAAATCTTGTTCGGAACAATTCGGAAAAATCCGGAGCGAACCAACTGTTCATTTAAAACAAATCAGTATCAAACATGGCTGCTCTGGAAGAGCATGAACGTTTTATCCGAGAATTTTTGGCCAAAGAAGAAAACACCATAGAAGATTTATCAGATATATAATCATATGTAATAAACGGATGCATCGGTAGAACAATAAACATTTAAATAACATATTCCCTTAAGAATGACATAAGAATGTTATTTAAATGTTTATTGTTCTACCGATGCATCCGTTTATTACATATGATTATATATCTGATAAATCTTCTATGGTGTTTTCTTCTTTGGCCAAAAATTCTCGGATAAAACGTTCATGCCGTCTTCCAGAGCAGCCATGTTTGATACTGATTTGTTTTAAATAAACAGTTGGTTCGCTCCGAATTTTTCCGAATTGTTCCGAACAAGATTTTCTCATTTCCAAAAACGAAAAATGAAAAACAGAATTTTTTTCGAAATTCGTTTTTGTTGCTCGAGCAATTCAAAGTATAGAAATGATGATTTTTTTTCGTTTTTCAAGCTTGTGGAAAACGGCTGGCCCTTTCAACAACTTATAACGTGTTCTGTTTTGTTTTCTAGAATATTTTATACAATTGAAAAATGAAAACACGAGTTTGAAGACTGTTTTTCTTTTTTCTGTGTCTCGAAAAACGAATGGCCCTTAGATACACGCATTAACAAGGCATGCCGCTTAAAATCAGGATTATTGAAAGATGTGATAAGATTTACACGGGGCCGTCTTGAGAGGGGGACATGGGGGGCATTTTGCCCCGGGCCCCAAACCCGAAGGGGCCTCCGACTTAAGAAAAAACTTAAAATTAAAGCACCTTGAAAAATGTTGGGCGCGGTGTATTATTCGCACACTAGTCGAAAGTATTAGATGAGTGACAGTCATTGTTATTTTAATTTCTAAGATATGTTGATATTGTTTGTAAAAAATTTTGTTTGTAAAACTTTTGCACAACGCTTTGAAGTACTTTATGCCTCACAGATATTTAAAACCATGACGTCATAGGGCCCCAGAAAAATGTTTTGCCATTTTCCGGTACACTCGACCATGCATGGTCGAATATGTCGTTTTCCGGCACACTCTACCATGGTAGAATACGAAATTTTTGGCTGGACTCGACCATGGTCGAATACGCCGTTTTCCGGCAGACTCGACTATGGTCTAAAACGCCGTTTTCCGGCAACTCAACCATGAAGTCGAATACGCCATTCTTCGGCGGACTCGACCAAGGTCGAATACGCCGTTTTCCGACGAAAAAAGTTTGTAAAACTTTTGCACAACGCTTTGAAGTACTTTATGCCTCGCAGATATTTAAAACCATGACGTCATAGGGCCCAAGAAAGAAATTTTGCCCCGGGCCACACGATTTCTCTGGGCGGCCCTGGATTTACACCCTGGACTTTCCAGAGTATTAAGACTATTCATTATTCGTTGACATTATTCATCTAACCATTCAGCCTCTATCAATATATAATATTAATAACGAGTATCGACTTTCACATTCCAAAACATTTACTTCCTGTGAATTTTTTCTCTTCATATTAAGCGCTGAAGCAAATATGTGAGTGGGCATTCGAAATCCAATGCAAAGGAGTCTGCATGTATGAGACAAGTCTGGTCCAGCCCAATTTATCGGTTTAAAAGGTCTGACACTAAGCTATATAATGGGCCTTATTAACAGGTTTGATTAACGTGAATCATTTTTTAACTTTTATTTATCAACCCACACATTACATACCAACAAAAACTGAGTCACATCAATGACTCAAAAACGGATATTAAAAACAAACAAAAAGTGGGAGTAAGATATTAATATATAAGCCGTTTCAAAACAAAATAATACATGTGTACATATGTTCCCCAATTTTAATTTGTTGCCTAATTTTAATTGGTTGGTTGATCGCTTTTAATTTGCTACAAAATTAAGGGAGAAAGCTGTGAGCTAAAACCTCTTTGCGGCTTTGGCTTTGATGACACAGGCTGATGTAAAGAAAGATTTCTAAATATTGAAACTATAACACTATAAAGGCTGTGCAGGTTAAAACTAAAGTAATTTCACAATCAATATAATACATACTACACAGTATCTCACATACAATTTATATTTTTACCAAATAACAGAACTAACCCTTCTGAAAACATAATTACACCATGTAAGCCCTAATTTACAGCTACATGAGCACACAAGTCAAATCTTTTGTGAAAATTTATTCACAGATATATACATATACATATACATATATATATATATATATATATATATATATATATATATATATATATATATATATATATCTATCTGCGGCCAACGTTTTTGCAAATGGGTGTATATATATATATATATATATATATATATATATATATATATATATATATATATATATATATATATATGTATATATCTGTGAATAAATTTTCACAAAAGATTTGACTTGTGTGCCGTAGCTGTAAATTAGGGCTTTCATGGTGTAATTATGTTTTCAGAAGGGTTAGTTCTGTTATTTAAATATACATGGGTCAAAGCACAGAAAAATCTGTATATATACCTCGAAACAAAAAGATATCCTTACAATAATACCTCTACAATGCTCAATTAGTTAAATTTATTACGTGTAGGTAATTATTAGGACACAATTTGATATGCTAGAAAACACTGGTTTATAGCATGCTATGTTTACCATATTTGTGTATATCGCTCTGCATTGGCAACATGTGGTAGCTGCTAAATTTCTTCTTTTTAATACCCCCTTGCAAACAGCTGAGTCTAATATAGTCAAGTAAAAAGTAAAGGAATACCAAACATTACCACAATCTGTGACATGAAAGCAACCACAATATGAGATGAAACAGCCCATCCATGGTTAGGGTGCACAGTACCAGTACCACAAGTTGAGTTACCACAACAAAATTCATTATTTTTCAATTCCACAAACTTTTTCCCAGCAACCTTCTTTGGCTCAGAACATTGCCAATTATCTTTGTCACTTGTCTTTTCAGAAAGATAGGATTGAAGCCAAGCCAAATTGCAATCACAATTGAGAGGGTTATTTGAAAGCTGGATTATGCTGAGTTTAGTTTGGGATGTAAATTCATCTTGTGGAATGGTGGTGAGATTGTTATTCTTCAAGATGATTTGGGAAAGAGACATCTTTTTCAGGAATCCATTGAATGTAACATTGGATGTGAGTTGGCAACCATTACATTGAAACTGTGTCACTTTAGAACCTTGGAAAGCATTCTCATTTATGAATTCAATTAGGTTTCCATCCAGGATTATGCTTGCAATCTCAGTTCCTTTCAGTATATCAGCCCCAATAGACTTTATTTCGCAATTTGAAATTCCTAAGGTCTTCAGTTTTGGCAAGCCACTGAATAAACCATCCTTCAAATGTTCAATAGGCGTGCCAGTTATAAGCAGTATCTGAAAATTTTTACCAAATTGTCCTTCACCTATCTTATAGATTACATCTGGATCCAATCGTGTATTATCAAGCTGTAAGTTCTGGACGTTTGTTGAATTTTCAAACAGATCATCAGGCAATATATTCAATCGATTATTGCTCAGGAAAACTTGATCCAAACGCGGAAGGTTAGCGAACAAGCCAGCAGGCAGTGAGGCAATGTTATTATTATTCAAGTTCACTTTAAACAAACGTTTCAAACCTTGAAACACCAAACTATCGTTAAAGAAAAGGCGTTGTTGGTTAAATATTTCCAGGTGAGTTAGATTGTCCACATTCTTGAAACTGTCCCGATTTAACACCCTTATACCACAATTTTCAAGCTCCAGAAGAGTTGTGTTACTTGGTAGCCAAGACGATAAGTTAGTATTTACATTAAAACCCTCGCATTTGACCTCATAATTACCCAGAATATCGTTACATTTACAGCCATTTGGTACCTGGGGAGGACAAACTGTGCTCTTCGCTGAATCCAGAAGAAAATAGCCAAAAAAAAGCGAAATATAAGACAAGACCTTCATGCTGAATATGGAATGTTTGGTTAAATATTGAATGACGCAGTAAGATTTACTGAAGGCGTTACCAGCCAGCGGGAAACAGCTGCGAGTCGGTAGCGGAAGCAAGGACTTTGGACCACTGATCTGAAATAAGACTGGACTAGGTTACCTGCAAGGTAGGGATTGCTGCGAGCATTTTAGGGTCCAAGTGAATTGTTATGTGATATGTTAGTAAACTAAATCCGTTTTAACTAATAGCAATAGCAGGTCTAAAACACGTAAAGTGAACCTCTCGTGAGCGTTAACTCGCTGGGGCTGTACATTAATTAATACCTGTTAGCGAGAACACTGTCAATGACTTCAATATGTAGGCCATGCAATATATGCTATATCAAGTTCTAACTTTTATCTCGAAATTGTTTTGAAATAGGCTGGTTTATATTATGATTTCGCGAGTAAATTTGCTATAAAGCAAATGTTCAATTGCCCAAAGGATTTGTAGATTGCACTCGGCAAAAACGAATCGTCTGAAAATAGCCATTTTACAGTGTCGTGAATACCAATTTCCCCGGTGTTGGATAGACCCGGGAGTGTTTTTCCCGCTGTCGAAGGGTAAAGGAGAGAACGCTGTCTTGCGAGTTGCAGCTCGTTGAAGTCAAAGTCTTTAGAAGCAGCTAGTTTTAAAAATATTTTAACATACGAATCACAACAGGAGTATTAACAATAATAGTAATATTAGGTAGAACTTTGCGCGTAGCGACATTTTCCCCGCAACAAAGTTGAAAGTATTGCACTTTTCAGTTTCCGCGCGGAAACTATTGTTTGGGTGCAAAAATTCGGCCGCCTAGCGAAAATACAGGCCCTGAGCAGTAGCACATATGCTATGTGAAATATGCTATGTGCTTTGAAATATGCTATTTGTCTTTGTTGTAAGTCCATGTAACTAAACATCACTTAATACTTTGAACTTTGTACGCGCTCGAGAAGACGTGTAATCAGAAACCACGTGAAGACCCGGTAAAAGCACTAAATAAAAATATTTAGCTCATTGTAAAATAGGAAAAAAAACATATGCCTATGCTTACAGTAACCTAATATAAAATAAGTCAAACATTGCAACAATCTGAATGATTCAGTCAGGCAATTTAGACGATCAATTGCATATTTTATCTACGACTGTGTCATGTTATTAAACACGACTCGCAAGCGTCAAGCCGCATATAATATATTACTTGAAACATCATTTGATGCAAAATATGGAAATCAGCAAAAGAATACAAACGTCAATGGGTTAAAAAAGACTTTAAGTTTAAGGCATCTGTATGTAAGACTTGATTTGCTTCACAGCACTGACAGCTCAACTGCTCAAGCAAAGCGAATGAATTGGATAGTACATCTCAATATTCTAGAAGAATTTATATAGTTCGTATATAAACAGCATGAATCTAGCTGTGATCGATTGTATGCTTTTAGCGTTTCATAAATATACAAGCTAAAATTGTAAACAACTGTAAACGTAACATATGAACGAAAGTTGAAAATATCTTACCTTGAATAGTCAAAATATTTTCCTTACGCACAGACGAACTATGAAACTCCGAAATTGTGCTGAACAGTGAATTAAATAATATCTTTGTAAAACTTTATTTGGAAACACTAGGGAAAATAGCTTCTGCGCATTTCCGATCGCCTTTATTTGGAAACACTAAAGAAAATTAGCTATCTGCGCACTTCCGATCGCGCATGACCACAATGCACTGCGCTAGACTGTTTTGAGATAAAAATCCCCATCTACACAAATTATAACACATCTATAGAAGGCAAAAGTTAAGCCGGAAGTGATCTGGCTGCCACCCGATTGTATCATTTAATATAGATTTCTTCAGGGTGTCTCAAAAAAAACGCAACCACTTAAATATGCAAGAATATTAATATTGTTCGGGTTTGCACCATAGTTCAGTTAAAATGACTTTTAGCGTTTTAAATGAAGGATTAAGAACAATTTTCAATTCCTAGGGGTACACTTCAGAGCTGTATTAATGTTCTTGCATATTTAAGTGGTTGCGTTTTTTTTTAGACACCCTGTATTACAGAACTGTATTTTTTTGCGGTTTTTGCTTTGTTCACGTCTCTATCCGGGCCAATTTCACAATCACAAACATACGAAGCATGCGAGAAGAAATTTTAGCAAATAATTTGGAATATTTCGACTTCATGACATTTTTTGCTCAAATTTCTTCTCGTATGTTTCTATGTTTGTGATTGTAAAATTGGCCCGGACAGAAACGTGAACAAAGCAAAAAACGCAGAAAAATAAGGTTCTGTAATAGAAATCTATATTAAATGATACAAAAGTGGGGCCTTTGAATCGGGTGGCGGCCGGGTCACTTCCGGCTTCACTTTTGCCTTCTATAGATGCGTTATCCAGTCTTATTTCAGATCAGTGCTTTGGACGGCACTGTCGAATTTGCGATTGCTTTTTTTTTGCTTATTAACACAGACTTACGAGACTTCTCCGGATATTTCTGTCTGATATAAAAAAAATGGCGAGAAACAACATCTTGAACATTCAAGGTATGAGTTCTACTGAACAAGACTTGATTATTGCAGCGATATTTCAACTTTATCTTATATTAATCCTCAAACCTCTATATGGATATTTACACGCTTTGTACACACATTACTGGGTGTAAGATGACTTAAGACCAATCAAAATATCACTGCATGCAAAATTCTTCTCTAGTTTCTATAAACTCAAATATATTTTATGTTTATGAGAACATGTTTTTCTTAGGGCATTTATTTTCTTTTAATTATGAAACCAGAAATGAAACAATAAACAATAGAGAACGAAAATAAATATCGCAAATTCAACAGTTCAGCCCAATGTCTGGACTAGCCCAAAGTCCAATCCAGTCCAAGCGCAGTCCAGTTTTTACAGTATGCCACATTTTCTTCTGTCACTTATAAGGCTAGTTTCCACTAAGCAAAATTCTCCTTTGGATCAGACAGGACAGGAAAGTTTCCTTTGTATAAACGCCGCCTGAGAACTCACCGACAAAGCAAATTTTCCTGTCCGTTCCGATCCAAAGGAGATATTTCCTGAGTAGAAACTAGCCTTTAACCGAACACTGAAATCTGCGCTCTGTTGTATATTACCCCTGATTCTCCCTCCACTAAGTTCAGAGTTTCCAAAAACTTTCTTAACGCTAACGGGCGACTCTGTTTTGCTTGACATATTCGTCTATACATAATTCGCCGATATAGTTGATAATTCGTCGTGTGTTTGTACTCAGACAGGATGAAATATCGGCTGTCAGACGGATCATACGTATCTATTATCATCGGGCCCATGTTTGACATAAAAGATTTTTATGCATGATGACAGTTAATTTGTTTGAACCACAAATAATTAGGTTTTGTTTTGTTTTTATTTTTTTATTTTTCGTCGTCGCAAGTGTCTTTTGGCGCGAAATATACTAGTATTTGAAAAGTGTGTGTGACCGTATTTATCTACGTCACAGTTTTGTCTCCCAACAGTGGTGGTGCACAGCGCGAAATCTCTGACTAATTTACTTGTCCTATTTTATTAATATCGCTGCTATTTCGCCGTTTAACAAGATGTGGTCGTGTATGGGCGCGTTGACACGTCGCAGTTTGCACAGAATTGAAGATTTAATATAAGCGCGAATTCCAAAGGAAAAGACAAAGTGAACGTATCATGCGGTTTATATTGAACTTCTATACTTTTTAAAGTACTATGTGCTTCTGAATGTCGCCATCGAACAAGATTTAGGTTCGCAAGGCATATAAATGAAATGAGTATGAACTGTATTGTTTATGTTCAAAAGCTTTATATTGAAGACTGACACGTGCCCGGCACGCCGAAGTTAACGCCAGAACAGGCGTGTTGTTTTATTAAAAATGGCCTAATTTATACTAGAGACGGATCATTCGTCAAAACAAACTTGCATGGGCAAGTGCAAGACAGTTCGTCCTCTAGTTCGTCTGTGTGTAAACACGCTTAGCTACGCTTGACATTTTTATTTCTACCTATTTTAATTCGTAACAGTAAATCTATGTAAATATGGTTTATAGATTGTATGGCGAAAAGAAAGCTATGGTGTGTCTTATTGTCAGTTATTGCGATGATTTAGGGAAGCCAAAGTTGTTTTTTACTCCAATTGATCTCCAATTAGGGTAATGTGATTGTTGTAGCCTGTGGGGTCGCGAATCCCGATGTGATTCCTCTTGACGAATCGCAGACTAAAGGCCATGGGCTTTGTCACCGTATTTTGAAAGAGTTTTTTTCTCGCAAGGGATTGTTTCTACTTTGTTAAACCAGTAATATCGGGATCGCATGTCAATCAGTGCACTTCCAGGCTGCGCGATTTTGCTCCGAACTGTATTGAGCATAGCTATATATGTAATAGACACCATTTAACCGAAAGATCTGTCGTGTCACGTTTACTCTATTGTATTGTCAGTCTTGACCCCTGATTCTCCCTCTAATGATCGAGTCTCTACTATATTCAAAGAAGAGAACACGTGATGATCAAGCTCAAACACTTCAAAAACACGGATATTAAAATATTGGTGTTTGTGCTAAAAGATTTGTAGTGCCGCTTGATAATTTTCATTATTTGCCATAAAATGAGATTTTTTGATGGCATTGACTCATGCAAAGAATCTTTAAATGGCGTTAAAATCGGCAAGATCAATAAATCACATACACATCATAGCCACTGTATCTGCGAAAAAATAATGCAATTCTTAGCCGCGGCACCTAGTTCACTTTCACCGACTTTGAATTCAACAGACGGCTGTGATTTAAATACGTTTAAGTTTGTTGCTTTTTGTTAGGTTTCGCGCGCCGATATTCTTCCCTAATACACCCAGAGTAACTGAAAAAATATTAAATGAATATAGTTTTTGTAAATGTTTTAAGTGTAAGCAGTGAGTATAGCACTGTCAAAGCCAATCTACAGAGCAAAACGCAACAATCTCTATAGGGAAAAATATAACTGAATATACCTATCAAACAGAATACGTAGTATAAGTAAGTATATAGTAAGTATAAGTAAGTATATAAGTACATGGAATGTATTGTTTATATACTATAGCATACTATTGTATGAATCTCAACAGTTTGTATGTTGCTCAACCTTAGCAAAACGTTACATTATATATTTATAATTGGTGAGAAAAATCGTTAGTTGGTGAGAAAATTGTTGGTGAGAAAATTTAAAATGATCAAACGAAGAGTAAAGGAATGCCAAACACTACCAAAATCTGGGACAGGAGGGTTACCGCAATATGAACTGAAACAGCCCATCCATTGTTAGGATCTGGCACACCACAAGCTTTGGTTGATGTACTATTACCACAACAAAATTCATCAAGTCTAATGTCCATAAAACGTCGCCCAGCAACACTCTTTGGCTCCGAACAATTCCACCAGATTCCGTCCCCAACAAGTTTCTTCTCAGTGTAAAAAGATCGAAGCCAAGCCAGATTGCAATCACAATTGAAAGGGTTATTTGAAAGCTGAAGTACCATTAATTCACTATGGTATGTTAATGCATCCTCTGGAATGGTGGTGAGATTGTTATTTTTTAGGATGATTTGGTAAAGAGACATCTTTTTTAGGAATCCATTAAATGTGACTGTCGATGTAAGTTGGCAACCAACACATTCAAATATTGTTATTTTAGTACCTCGAAAAGCATTCTCATTTATGAGTTTCATTGGGTTCCCATTCAGGGTTATGCTTGTAATCTCAGTTCTGTTCAGTATATCAGCCCCAATAGACTTTATTCCGCAATTTGAAATTCCTAAGGTCTTCAGTTTTGGTAAGCCACTGAATAAACCATCCTTCAAATGTTCAATGGGCGTGCCAGTTATAAGCAGAATTTGAAAATTTTTACCAAATTGTCCTTCCCCGATCTTGTAGATTACATCTCGATCCAATCGTGTATACCCAAGCTGTAAATTCTGGACGTTTGTTGAATTTTCAAAGAGATCATCAGGCAATATATTCAACGGATTATTGTTCAGGAAAACTCGATCCAAACGCGGAAGGTTAGCGAATAAGCCAGCAGGCAGTGAGGCAATGTTATTATTATTCAAGTTCACTTTAAACAAACGTTTTAAGCCCTGAAATACGAAGCTGTCGTTGATGGAAAGGCGTCGTTGCTGGTTGAATATTTCCACATGAGTGAGATTGCTCAGATTCGCAAAACTGTTCCGATTTAAGACTGTTATGCCACAATTTTCTAGCTCCAGTTGATTCGTATTATTTGGTAGCCAAGAGGACACGTCAGTAATTGTGGCTATATTCTTGCATCTAACCCTATGATCATCCAGAATCATGTCGCATTTACAGCCATTTGGTACCCCGGAAGGACAGGCTGTGCTGTCCCCTGAATCCAGAAGAAAATAGCAAGAAAATAGCGAAATATAAAAAGGCAAAACTCTCATGTTGGATATCGAATGCTTTTAATGCAAGCGAACAACTGCAATTTTCAATTGCAAATGTCAATGGCGATGGTGGTTAGGCTAGCATAGCCTATAACTATGCGGCCAAAAGAAAGGAAACCGGAAAGCTATTAGGCTGCCGGATTACTGAATGCATTTATTGAATGCACCGAATTGCATGATTTAATGAATGCAATCTGAACTGAGTGCAATTACTGAATGCAATTAAGCCAAATACTATTATCATAATCTATGTTTTCTTTTGTCCTGATTGTTAAGTGTTGTTGTTATGAATATTAATCTGGAAATTGCGTTGTGATTGCCGCAAACAACCGAGAACTTGTAGCAAAGGTTCTTTCGAATAACAAACGGACGGTTGATAGTTTATAAATATTATTTAAGTATCAATAAAAGGAAAAAATACGCGAGAATAAGTGACTACAAAACCTACTTGAGTTAATGTCCAAAAATCCAACTGTTCATTCCCGCTCTTTCCTTAACATTAACCAATAAGGTTCAGAGACTGTTGCTACGGTAACATGTCCTACTGATCTATATCTTATATTAACTGTACTGTCGCTAATCGGCGACAACTTTGTCTAAAACAATGAACTCAAACGACCGCCTATATATTACCCAGGGTAATTTCGCTGTATCTATTCCGGAATAAATATTTTCATACCTTTGTTGTTACGTCCCATCTAGTCTACTGTAATTCCCATCTTAGTCGGAGTCCCTCAGTACCAACTTCAAAGACTTGAAAGAGTTTTAAATGCTGCAGCAAGGCTTATTCCAAAGTACAAGATCCTACAAAATACGAATGTACAATTATGATCAGATCAATATGAATAGAAAATGTGGTATTTGTAGTTTGGTTACTTTTGTACAGTTGTACCATAATTTTTATACAAGTTGTAACAACGAATTTAAATATGATTTTTAGCCGCAAGCGGTAGGAACATAATCCTGCGCTTTCAATGTGGTATTTAAGTGCTTTGCTTGAAAAATAACGCTTCGAAAACATTCAAAAAACCAAAATCACTAACGCGCACTCCTGAGCAACGGCCATTTTGAATGTATTATTAGGCAATGACATTAAATTCCATACTGTTTCAACGACCAGTCAGAAGCGCTTCTGATTTGGATTATCCAAGAGCCCCCTACTCCTTTCCCCGATGGATCGCGCACTCTGGGTTCGAGATTGCCGTCATCTTGGCTTCAAACTTTCGACAGAGTGAGCGTTCCAATCTTATTTGAGCTCACTGGGTTCCTGAGACGTCCATTTGTTCGATTTATGGCAGGCATCTATTCAACATTTTTTGTTCTCGCTTCCCCGACTCAGCTAGCCCAAGCCAAATATGCAAATTTTGGATTGGACTTAAGGCTAGCCTGGACATTGGGCTGAACTGTCGAATTTGCGATTTTTGTTTTCCTCCTCTATTGTTTATTGTTAACGCAGGCTAAAAGACGTCACTTTAGGATATTTCTTGTTTCATAATTAAAAGAAAATAAATGCTCTGAGAGAAACATGTTCTCGTAAACATAAGATTTTTATGAGTTATAGAAACTAGAGAAGAATTTTGCAGTGATATTTTGACTGTGCTTTAGTCATACTACCCCCAGTAACATGTGTACAAAGCGTGTAAATATCCATATAGAGGTTTGAGGATAAATATAAAATAAAGTTGAAATATGGCTCCAATAATCTAGTCTTGTTCAGTATATAACTCATACCTTGCATTTTCAAAATGTTGTCTCTCGTCATTTTTCCTTAATACATGAAACAGGAATATGCGGAACAGTTTCGTAAGTCTGTGTTAATAACTTAACAATAAGCAAAAAAAGAAATCGCAAATTCGACAGTCCAGTCCAATGCCCCAGTACAAAGTCCTTATGCTTTACGTGAGGTTTCGCGAGTAGATTACCCCCCCCCCTCCCCATATACGGGGATGCCGCCAATGACGTCACAATGGGTATACACGAGGATGCCACTTGAACATGATGTGAGAATACATGATAGTTTCACGTGAACATCATGCGTTTAGTGTTCAAGATGTCAAACTAAAATGTACACGGGTGTTTCACGTGTACATCATGCATTTGATGTATGTAGTGTTTATGGGCCGGGGTATTGTGTAGGAGTCAAAACCAAATTTTAGTGTAAATCATTTATTGTTTCCATTTGTTGAAACATGATGATACAGTACGATTTATCTATAAGATAATTTTTATTAATATAGTTTAGGTAATTTATGATACGAATAACTATATTGTTCTATAATCACTTAAACTTGCGGTTCGTTGTATTTTGATGAAATGTGCAATCATCAATCAGTAAAAATTAATGTTTGAGGGAAATATGAACGAATCTAGTAGAAACATCTGATCACGTCTCAGCATAATACAGTCGGTGACTTCTATCCACCAGTCATTATCATAGATCATACACCACGTGTCGGAAGTGTGCATGTGTATATACTCGATTGGTTCTTTGACGTTCATATGGCGTTCATACGACCTTAAGCATGTTGGACGGCAACACGACGACGACGCGGCTTAAATTCTCCTTTAAATAATTGCTATGGCAAAGTGGTTGTTGTATATTATTAATTGTACCGCTTTAGTAAGATATAAGGCGTTGAAAACATTCTGTTTATGTTTAAGGACAATTCTATAGAGCCTAATTCGAGGTAGGGCTCGCTGGGTCCTGAAATGCAACCTAGACAAGACGTAAAAAACGACGTTTTCCCGTTGTAAACAGAACGAAGAAGACGTCTAAAACCCATCATGGGTCTTTAATTATTCATTTCTTTTCAATGACCCATTGTATTGATAGCCGTCGTCGTCGCGTTCGCGTCCTACATGCTTAAGGTCACTAATGTATACATATTACGACGCTGATGCGATGTCTACGTTAATATAGGTACAGTTTTATGCAATGGCCATATAAATCTAAGGCCACTGTTAACAAAATGTTTCTTATCCTCAAGTTTCAAAGTTGGATTTCGCGCAGAATGCAATCATAACTTCGAAGGGAAAGGGAAAGTGTTCCGTGTGTTTACTCAAACAAACTGTCATAAATTACTATCTATTTAATAGTCGTAAAGTACGTGGCATCCTCGTTTATACCTATTGTGACGTAATTGACCGTAACGAAAAAGATGGCGGCATGTACATTTTACCAGAATGCATTGCGGCCGTTAAGAATGATTGACTAAAAAAAGATGGCAAGAAAAACTCCTAATGACGTGAAATTTTAACACAGCGAAGAAAATAACTTCCTGCTCTATGCCTGTCCTTTAAAAGACGTCAGTTCGCTTTTTTAAATGATTTCCGACCGCAATGTTTTCTGGTAAAATGTACATCTGCAATCTTTTTTGTTATGGTCAATTGGCGGAATCTTTTTCATCCGTATATATTTGGGGGGGGGGGTAATCTACTCACGCTGGCTGCCAACGCCTTCAGTAAATATTACCGCGTCAATCAATATTACTGAAACTAAACATTCCATATTCAGCATGAGGGTCTTGTCTTATATTTCACTTTTTTTGCCTATTTTCTCCTGGATTCAGCGAAGAGCACAGCTTGTCCTCCTCAGCTACCAAATAACTGTAAATGTAACGATATTCCGAGTAATTATAAGGTCAAATGCGAGAGTTTTAGAGTAAATACTAACTTATCGTCTTGGCTACCAAGTAACACAACTCTTCTGGAGCTTGCAAATTGTGGTATAACCGTATATAAGCGTGTTAAATCAAGACAGTTTCAAGAATGTGAAAAATCTAACTCACGTGGAAATATTTAAACAACAACGTCACCTTTCCTTTAACGATAGTTTGGTGTTTCAAGGTTTAAAACGTTTGTTTAAAGTGAACTTGGATAATAATAACATTGCCTCACTGCCTGCTAGCTTGTTCGCCAACCTTCCGCGTTTGGATCAAGTTTCCCTGAACAATAATCCGTTGAATATATTAACTGATGATCTTTTTGAAAATTCAACAAACGTCCAGAATTTACAGCTGGGGTATACACGATTGGATCGAGATGTAATCTATAAGATCGGTGAAGGACAATTTGGTAAAAATTTTCAGATACTGCTTATAACTGGCACGCCTATTGAACATTTAAAGGATAGTTTATTCAGTGGCTTACCAAAACTGAAGACCTTAGGAATTTCAAATTGCGAAATAAAGTCTATTGCGGCTGATATACTGAAAGGAACTGAGATTGCAAGCATAACCCTGGATGGAAACCCAATTGAATTCATAAATGAGAATGCTTTCCAAGGTTCTAAAGTGACACAGTTTCAATGTAATGGTTGCCAACTCACATCCAATGTTACATTCAATGGATTCCTGAAAAAGATGTCTCTTTCCCAAATCATGTTCAAAAATAACAATCTCACCACCATTCCACAACGTGAATTTACATCCCAAACTAAACTCAGCATAATCCAGCTTTTAAATAACCCTCTCAATTGTGATTGCAATTTGGCTTGGCTTCAATCCTATCTTTCTGAAAAGACAAGTGACAAAGATGATTGGCAATGTTCTGCGCCGAAGAAGGTTGCCGGGAGAAAGTTTATGGAATTGAAACCTAATGAATTTTGTTGTGGTAACTCAACTTGTGGTGCTGGTACTGTGCACCCTAACAATGGAAGTGGTAACTCAACTTGTCGTGCTGGTACTGTGCACCCTAACAATGGAAGTGGTAACTCAACTTGTCGTGCTGGTACTGTGCACCCTAACAATGGAAGTGGTAACTCAACTTGTCGTGCTGGTACAGTGCGCCCTAATCATGGAAGTGGTAACTCAACTTGTCGTGCTGGTACTGTGCACCCTAACCATGGATGGGCTGTTTCATCTCATATTGTGGTTGCTTTCATGTTACAGATTGTGGTGGTAAATGGCATTCCTTCTCTTTTTACTTAACTATATTAGACTCAGCTGTTTGGAAGGGGGTATTAAAAAGCAGCTGCCACATTTTGTCCATGCAGAGCAATATACACAGATATGATGAACATAGCATGCTATAAACTAGTGTATTCTAGCATATTAAATTGTATCTTAATTATTACATACATGCTAAGAGCAATAAATTTAACTAATCAAGCATTGTAGAGGTGCTATTGTAAGGATATCTTGTTGTCTTGAGGTATTTTTTTGTACAATTGGCCCAATATATAAGAGAGCAATAAATGTTACAATATAAGCGTAATAAATAGTATAAGAGCAATAAATGTAACTATTTGAGCATTGTAGAGGTGCTTATGTAAAGATATCTTGTTTTCAGGTATATATACAGATTTTTGTGTGTGTATATATATATATATATATTTAATATATATAACACCTTCGTCCACCTTACTAAGTTGCTTGTTGGAGCCAGATTGCGATCCCTACGGCATCTTAAGCTGAGCACTCCCCCCCCCCTCTCCTCTGAAAGCTGACCCTTCACACCAACTTTGTTGGTGGAGGAAAAGACAGACATATGAATAAAAGTAAACAAAGGGAGAAAAGAAAGAAATTTACTAATAGCACTTTACCACAAGCTGCTCTTGTCGACGTTATCGCTCGTTCGCCGACGGGTTGTTAATGCCCTCCGCAGGCTTTGCTCCGCACCTTGCCACCACTCGCCCTTTCCATTCGGTCACGTGGTTTGCCTGACGTCATTGAAGTGGTCTCCTCCCTCTCAACCCTGGTTATTGCATAACCCCATTTAAAACCTTCGTCCCCTTACTTACCCGTTTGGATGGTTAGGTGTTAGCTCTGCCGCTCGCGGGAGGGGTAGCTTGCAACGAGTGCTGTTACTTGGAGCCAGGTTGAGATCCCTACGGTATCTTAAGCTGAGCACGCGGGGTGATGTTAACTGACATTACCCCTCCAAGTAACTACCCCTGATTCAGCCTTTTTTAGGGGCGAGCTTGCAAGAACGGTGATCCCTATCACGATTGTGCCGACTGTGCAACGGATGTTGTTACCAACCGACATGGTTGCACAAGCTTAACCCGAAGACGCTGTACTTCTCATCACACTGCGTGGTAAGGCAATGCCTGCCCTGTGACGCTCTGGACGTTGTTCCCAGCTTCAATGAGAGCACAAGGAGGCCGAACCAACCTTGGCACCGAATCTCCTCGCCACCCTCGGTGGAGAGGACACGCCTGCGCCGACATGAGCCAGGTCGTTGTTACCATCTGAGATGGTAGCAACAACGTGTACCTGTTGGGTTGCATTCCCTTCTCCGACAAGATGGTAACGTGACAATGGTACCGACTCGTGCGAGGACGTTGTAGCTAGCTGGAATGGCAGCACAACGTTCGTTCTCGCCCATCCTTTGGGTTGACCCTTACCGGTTAAGCTCCAAGGTTGGGGAAAGCACCGCATGTATAAGTTTGATAACTGACATACCAGGCCCGTCCTAATGGCACTAGATCGATAAGTAGGCGGACCGGACTACATGACACAAAGCCAGAACCCAGGATCTTTTATTGTTATTGACAACCAAACGTATATACACTTTTGGGGGGGGGGGAGTTGGTGGTTTTTTTGTCTGTAGCTATGGTCTGCGCAACGAGACGAGCAGCTGCGCCGTCAATTACACTCGGCGGAGTTCTAATGTACCCTTGGCATGCGTCGCTTACCCACATGCCCATCGTTTTAATCAGATGGTCCGGAACACCGACCACAGCGGCTGTAGTCGCCGCACCAATGCGGAAGCTGTGGCCTGAAAAAGTACCCTCCAAACCTAGGCGTGCGAGAGCGTCGCGTGTCTGATTTCGACAAGAGGTGATTTCCGGATAGAGGAGTGCAGTTCTCGAACACGAAGAGTGGGCCTGGAGAGCAGCCCCGGAGATGGAGGAAGTGGACCAGGGCATGCACGGCACAGATCGAAGTGTTCGTAAGGCCCAGTCGCAATGTATGTCCTCTACGAAAATGATCCGTTTTTGAAGCTTTGATACGTAGAAACAGTACCGACGGATTCACTCGATATGTCCGACAACGACAAATGGACTGTAGGGTCGTAGGTACCGGTCGTGGTAAACTCGCCCGAACGCAGAAAACCGAAGACCCTGTACAGCACGCCGCCCAGAACAATGCGTCCCGATAGTTGCGCAGGTCAAGTAGCGAGTATATCGGACGAGAAATGGAGGCCGTTATCGGTAAGCGCGGCCGACTGGCGAGACCTTGAGTGCGTTTTATCCCGCAAAGGACCTGTTCCAACCAGGGACCGTTGGAGAGAGAATTCCCGAAGCCGCTTTCGACATGTAAGGACCAAACTCCTGACAGATATACCTTATAAGTTTATCGAGCTCGCCTTGAGGGATGAAGAAAACGGGAAAACGGCGTTGGGCCGCACTGTATGTTCGCCAGGTCAATTTGGCTTAGCTGTTGATAAGCAAGACGGCAGCTTTCTCCCTCAAAGATTTCAGGTCAGTATCAGTCAATTATTCTATTTTAGAACCTCGGAAAGCATTCTCATTTACGACTTTGATTGCGTTTCCATCCAGGGTTATGCTTTTAAGCTCAGTTCCCTTCAGTATATCAGCCCCAATATACTTTATTCCGCAATTTGACATTCCTAAGGTCTTCAGTTTTGTTAAGCCACTGAATAAACCATCCTTCAAATGTTCCACGAACGCGCCAGTTATAAGCAGTATAAGTGGTCATATAAACACTAATTAGTGTTTGTATTACAAGCAGGATTTCGGAGACTATCCCGTCCCGGCTAGGCGGGATCATATAAACAGGCCCTTAATGAAGCGAAAAACTGCGATTTTCAATTGCAAATGTCAATGGCAATGGTGGCTAGGCTAGCATAGCTTATATTTATGGCGAAAGAAAGGAAACCGGATAGCTATCAGGCTGCCGGATTACTGAATGCATTTATTGAATGCACAGAATTGCAGATTAATGAATGCAATCTGAACTGAGGCATTACTGAATTCAACTAAGCCAAATACTATCATCATAATCTATGTTTACTTTGTCTAAAACAATGAACTCAAAGGGCCGCCTAAAACGATGTTTGGCACATCTATTCCAACCTCGTACCCAGGGTAATTTCGCTGTATCTATTCCTGAATAAATATTTTCATGGGACTTTTTTGTTCATCACAAATGTCGACATACCGTGTATCTCTAACAGAACAGAAAACGGTTCAATGTTATCTATTTGTTAAATAGCATATACTATATAAACATATGTTTGATAGCCTTAGCCAGGGAAAAACCCATAGTTGCAGTCAAGTCTAAAGCCGGTTTTCCACCAGCGATATTTTTCGCGCGAAGCGTCTTTATTCTTTTGTATTTGAGAAATTTGTTTCACATGGTTGCAGTTGAGAGCTCTGAAACAAAAGTAAAATGTCGTTTCGCGCGAAAATTATCGCTAGTGCAAAACAGGCCTTAAGCCGGTTTTCCACTAGCGATATTTTTCGCACGAAGCAACTTTATTCCTTTGTATTTGAGAAATTTGTTCCAGATGGTTGCAGTTGATAGCTCTGAAACAAAAGTAAAATGTCGCTTCGGGCGAAAAATATCGCTAGTGGAAAGCCGGCTTTAAGCCGGTTTTCCACTTGGCGGAATTTTTCGACCGAACGAAATTTTTCGCCTGATATTCTTTTCAATTGCGAGAATTCGGCCGTAGCGGATCCCCTTCACCTGTCACAATTGAAAAGAAAATCGAGCGAAAAATCTCGTTCGATCGAAAAATTCCGCCTAATGGCAAACCGGCTTAAAGGCCCATACAAACAGGACGCGAATTGGCAACGCGACGCAAATTTTCAACGTTTTCTATTTTTCAAAATCAAATAAATTTCAACCTATCAAAATATTCTTGTATATTACATAACAATAATACATTTTGACTGCTCTGGCGCCCATAGATTCCAAATTTTGCTTCCAGAAGTTTATGCTTCTGAAAACTCAAAATTCGCGTCGCGTATCCGCTTCGCGTCCGGTCTGTGTCGGCCTTAATCTGATAGTCAAGCAAAATGTAAAGGAATGCAAAATATTACCACAAACTGGAAGATTAGGGTAAACACATATTGAGCTGAAACAACCCACGCATTGTTACCACAAATTTTGGTCGAGTTACTATTATCACAGCAAAATTCATCAAGTTTAACATCCAAAAAACCTCGCCCAGCAGCACTTTTTGGCTCAGAACATGTCCATGAGGCTTTGCTACCTAAAATTTTCTTTTCGGGGTCATAGGATCGTAACCAAGCCAGATTGCAATCACAGTTGAGAGGGTTATTCACAAGGTGAATTATCTGTGGTTCACTATGGTATGTAAATGCATCCTCTGGTATGGTAGTGAGATTGTTATTCTGTAGGCTGATTCGAGTAAGAGACATCTTTTTTAGGAATCCATTAAATGTGACTCTTGATGTAAGTTGACAACCAACACATTCAAATATTGTGATTTTAGTACCTCGAAAAGCATTCTCATTTATGAATTTGATTGGGTTTCCATTCAGGGTTATGGTTGGAATCTCAGTTCCGTTCAGTATGTCAGCCCCGATGGACTTTATTCCGCAATTTAAAATTCCTAAGGTCTTCAGTTTTGGTAAGCCACTGAATAAACTATCCTTCAAATGTTCAATAGGCGTGCCAGTTATAAGCAGTATCTGAAAATTTTTACCAAATTGTCCTTCACCGATCTTATAGATTACATCACGATCCAATCCTGTATACCCAAGCTGTAAATTCTGGACATTTGTTGAATTTTCAAACAGATCATCAGGCAGTGTATTCAACGGATTATTGTTCAGGAAAACTTGATCCAAACGCGGAAGGTTAGCGAACAAGCCAGCAGGCAGTGAGGCAATGTTATTATTATCCAAGTTCACTTTAAACAAACGTTTCAAACCTTGAAACACAAAACTATCGTTAAAGGAAAGGCGACGTTGTTGTTTGAATATTTCCACATGAGTTAGATTGCTCAGATTCGAGAAACTGTCCCGATTTAAGACTCTTATATCACAATTTTCTAGCTCCAGTTGATTCGTATTATTTGGTAGCCAAGAGGACACGTCAGTAATTGTGGCTATATCCTTGCATCTAACCCTATGATCATCCAGAATCGTGTCACATTTACAGCCATTTGGTACCCCAGAAGGACAAGCTATGCTGTCCGCTGAATCCAGAAGAAAATAGCAAAAAAATAGCGAAATATAAAAAGAATAAACTCTCATGCTGACTACCGAATAATTTTAGACCCACCAGACGTAACCTGACTCCTGAGCATCGCGAGCAATTTATTTACTCAAATATTTATCCAACTGTACTAGAAGTTCTTATCAGAAGGGAAAATTGCTGCCGAAGATACATCATTTAAGTGCAAAAATGACGAACCAGTTGCAAATAGTCGAAATCATTGTCGAAATCTCGATTCGTATCCGTTTTTCCGAATGATGTCTGTCCATTTGCTCCGAGGTAAAAGGTTGATCATCAAGTCCCTTCTAAAATTTGGTGAGTGGACAAAATATTGTACATATGCTAATATTGCAATTGTTAAATTTATGGGTGTGAAAAAGTTTTACAGAAGATCGAAATTTTCAGAACAGGGAAATATTTCATTCCGCTTTTATACAGAGCATATACATCCAGGCGATTAACGTTTAATGTTCAATCTCAAGAGGAGCGCTTTCATGAGTTCATCGGCTACATGTTCTTATGGCAAAAAAAATTTTATTGCTATAGCTAATATGGTTCTTCTTATATGACTTCATTTAAAACAAACACATATTAAATATATACGCAAGCGAACGATTATAGTAAATATGTTATTGCATACACAGTAACGCAGGATAAGAACGGAAGATCGACAGAACGGGGATATCTCTTCTGATTTAGTGCTTTCACACAAACACGTACATCAAGGGGATTAACTTTTATTGTTCAGTCTAGAGGCGTGCTTTCATACGTTTATTGGCAATAGCCGATGAATTTTGTGACTTTTTACGCACGCTTATAGTCAACCTTATGCGCGCGTCATTACTTTTCAAATCTAAAGTCGTGAGTTTATCGGCTATATGACTTTCAGGGTACTAGACAAATACAGGATCTATACATGGTTCGGAGTAATAAACTCTGGAAAACCAGTGTCAAGAATAGTGTGCTGCCTTGCTAATGTTTGGTAGCAAAAAGCTACCGATTACAGCGGAATGAGATATAAAATTGGTTACCACGCTTCCAATCCAGTGCTGGGTTTAAATCAGTCTCCACCGCAGAGACTTTTAAAACTTACACAAAGACCTCTGCGGAGAAGAGTGGGTTTATATCGCGAAATGGGGCAAATGACTTTTAAAATAAGCAATTTGCGCAAGCGCCCGGCCACGGTTTGCAGGGGCCCCCAAAATACAACATGAATAGAATAAAACCACCCTTGAAAATATGTAGTCCTTTTTCTATATAGGTAATGCAGAATATTATATTTAATTCACCATAAATTAAACGAAGCAAATCGCATGCATCTGCTCTATTCTAATGTTCAAAATTTTCTTAGCCTTTAATAGAGGAGTACGCCCAAAAAAGTGTCACCCCAACAAAATAACCTGTGAACGCCACTTTCTGGCGATGAATTATCGCATCACTGTGGCAAAAAGTTACATGAACAAACCATATGATTTTCGGGTCTTTTTTGCCGTCGGATTCCTATAGTTCACTAATTCGAAAACAATCATTCACTACTAATTGGAAAACAATCATGCATTAAAAAATACAGGAACACCAAACACTACTAGGAGCTGAGACAAGAGGGCAACGACAATGTGACCAGAGATGACCCATCCGTTATTGGGATTCGGATCAGGCAAACCGCAAATCTTTTTCGAAGTGTTATTGCTTTCACAACAAAACTGATTGATATTAACCGATACCAAACTTTTCCCAGTAAATCTCTGTGGTTTCGCACATTTCCAGGAGGATTTGTTACCTTGAATACTGTCAGCAAAGGATCGGAGCCATGCTAATTTGCAGTCACAATTGAGAGGGTTATCACGAAGAACTACACAAGTGGTTTTATCACAAGATGGAAGGTCGGCGTAGGGATTATCTTCAATAGTTTCAATAAGGTTTTCCGACAAGTCAATTGTGTGAAGAAATCTTTGGTTCATAAACGCATCTTTGGGAACGTAAGTGAGTTTGTTGCGCTGTAGGCTGATTCTATGAAGTGACATCTTTTTCAAAAAGCCATTAAATGTAAGATTGGAACAAAGATGGCAACCGACACATTGGAAATTCGATATTTTTGAATTGCGGAAGGCCTTCTCGTTTATGAACTCGATTGGATTACCATCAAGCTTTATATTTGAGATCTTAGTTCCTTTTATTATGTCCGCCCCAATAGTCTTAATCCCACAATTCGTAATTTCTAAGGTTGATAACTTTGATAAACCACTGAATAAACCATCCTTCAAATGTCGAATTGGAGTGCCGGTGAGTTTCAAATTGAGAATATTCTTACCGAAATATCCTTTCCCGATATTATCAATCGCACTTTCATTTAATGATGTATTCTCACATTCAAAATGCTTAAGATTTGTGGAATTTTCGAGCAAATCAACAGGCAAGGTTACCAATGGGTTATAGTTGAGAGAAACTACTTGCAAACGTGGAAAGTTTGCAAACAATCCTGCGGGGAGAGAATCAATATTATCACCACTGAAGTCAACTCCAAATAGACGTTTCAAGTCTTGAAACATCGAACCATCTTTAAAGTAAAGACGTTGTTTATTGTTTCGAATTTTTAAGCCAGTCAGATTAACTAGATTTTTGAAACTGCCGCGATGTAGAAGGCTTATACTACAATTTTCAAATGTCAGAAACTTTGTATTGTTCGGTATCCATGACGGTATCTCAGTGATTCCCTCATCATCTTTACATTCAACACTTTTCCGTACCAGATTACACTTGCAACTACGCGGAGCCTCAGAAGGACAAGAATAATTTCCAGCTAAAACCAGATAGAAACGAAATAAGTGAATGACGCCTAAACACGGGCAATGTTTTTTAAATAAAAAAGACTATTCGATCAGTTTGAACAAATCGAACCATCCAACATTGAAACAATCAACATGTTCTTACATAAAATAGAGTGCTTTAGCCGTGACTGTGACAAAGAATACGTATTATAAGTAGGGTAACTAGAGATTATTTTTGTGTCCTCAAATTTCCCCCAAATGTACACGTCATGCACACGTCACGACACTTGCTGGAAACATGGCCACTCTTCGAATATTTTACTATTTCTGCCGCTTTAGTAGTAAATTGTTGGCTTTTAATTGATATAAATAAATAAATGAATTTTTATCTCCGCAAATGCAAAAAAATAGTGAAATAGGTGACACGGCACTCACGGCAGAGCGCATAAAAAATGACGTAATGACAAATGAAACGAATATTACGCATTGTTATATTGGTGCTGTGTATTTTAGATGTGATTGGTTTATTCGTAGTCACATGACTTTAAATAAATGCAATAAGTGAAAAATTGTTGCCCGCTTCTTGTCATAACAAAGTAAAGTAGGTTTTTTTTTAAATGAAATTGTTGTGTAACATGTATGTTTTTGTTCCTATATAACAAAACACTTAATGTACACTACCTCGGGAAATAGTGTTTTCTCTCGAGTCTCCATGTTTCAGACATTCAAACATTCAGACTCTTGGGAAAACAAAACTCATCGGGAGCATACATTAAGTGTATAATATCCGGTTAAATTTCATATTTTTACTAGGTGTGACGTCATATCGAGGGATATTGATTTTTTGTTCAAACTTTGATCTCGCAGCACCGCGGCAGCAAAAGCCCGCGAAATCAATAATTCAGAATTGAAAAAAACAAATATAATCATACAGTTGGGTAAATTGGCCACATTAAACGCGGAAGAATTAAAATGTATAATAAAACTTAAATTATTAGACTCGGCTTTCGCATGATATCAAGAATTATTCAAACCGGTCAAAGGTATCCGTCTTAGCTTCGCTTCGGCAGATAACTTTGACCTCGGTCTGAATAATTCTTGTTATTGTATACCCAAGCGCCAGATATGAGGTATGCTGCAATTTCATTGGTTGGCTACTAGACAGATATTTAACAGTTATTCTGCGAACTCGAGTCGTATATGAGCTGATGGCTATCGGCCATATAGTGAACATGCACAATTCAACGAGAACGAACGACTATGCAGTTATGTTAATAAGGGTTATGCTGTTGGTGAATTGTTTATGCTAATCGGGCTTGGAACGGAATAAAGTTATCACATTCGTCTAAGTGCTTGTCGAAAATTCATATTTAAGGTCTCATCCAGTAGCCACGCGAGTTTAAACGAGTGCAGACAACTGAGTCGCTCGGTTAATGAGGCTACTCCTTCGTTCTCGTTGAATTGTGCATGTTCACTAATACGACGAGAGTGAGCAGAATAACTGTTTTATTATATACACAAACTTTGTCGCCCTTTCGGTGCATTTTGGTGTCCTATTATCAACTAAAGCTTGGATTTCTATTTCACTCAACTCCCCAAATCTTTCAGCTATTTTGTTTACTTTCTCTACTAGACAGATATGAGCTAATATCTGTCTAGTAGCCAACCAATGAAATTACAGCATACCTCATATCTGGCGCTTGTGTATATAATAATAGCTGATATCTATCTAGTTATTCTAGTAGAGAAAGTAAACAAAATGGCTGAAAGATTTGGGGAGTTGAAAATAGAAATCCAAGCTTTATTTGATAATAGCACACCAAAATGCACCGAAAGGGCGACAAAGTTTGTTTATATAATAAAACAGTTATTCTGCGCACTCTCGTCGTATATCAGCTCATATACGACTCGAGTTCGCAGAATAACTGTTAAATATCATGCTTAGCCTCATCCAATAATTGTAAAATATTCCGAGGTCGGAGGCAACCTCGCACCCAGGGTCTTTCCTCATGGGTCGGAGGTCGCTTGACTAAATCAGAGGCCAGGATTTACAATATTCACTTTTGTAATTATACTAACACGCAATAAACACTTGTCAGCAAGAAGGCTGATATGGCTGTGGAACATCTGCACATCTTTTATCTATGACTGTGAGTATACGACCATTGTCGCGTTTGGGCAGGCAAAAGCACCGAGTTTGACGAAACTCAAATCAGCAGATTTTGTCCTCCACAATTGCGCAACACTGCCGTGAATATTGCAATATTACTCATTCGCTACTTGTCCTAGCATGTTTGTAGAACAAATTTCAAAGGTAGCATGCATTCCCTTTCGGTGATTTCAAAATTTCCATGGTATATTTTCACAGCAAAATAATTTGTATACTGCAAATTTTAGGTTCATATATAGGCAAAAAAATTATCACATTAACAAAGAGCCAGGACTTGCTTGAAACAACTGATTTGACCCTTAAGCTCACCCCAGTCTTTCCCATTTACCCTTGTTATGTAAAAATGAAAATAATTAAAATAATTGTGAAGATTCAAAAGAATATGCTCAATTTGTCAAATCATATGCATGGTGATCAAATTTATGGGTTTTTTAAATCAGACATAAAAATTCCTGGAAAGCTTACATCATTGCTGGCTGACTGACTGGTTCTATTTCTTGTCAGTCATGATCATCAGATAATGCAGTTTCAAAGAAGTTTCAAATAGTTTAACATCAGCTCTTGGCAACCATGACAGCAAATTAAAAGTTAAATTTAGCACACAACACACACTTGAAACAGAGGCTCAGGAATGAACACTTCATTACATATCAGGGAAGCAGGGCATGTTAGAATGTCATTTCCTTTTCGAGACATTTATCTTATATCTACACAAAAGCAGAATTATATACTTACATTGGTAGCAAAACTCTTCTATTTTAAGCGAAACAAAAATTTGGCCAGCAACACTCTCTGGTTCAGCACATTTCCAGGATTCCTTGTCACTTGAAACTTTCCTGGGTAAGGTTTGCAGCCAAGCTAAATTGCAATCACACTGGAATGAGTTATTCGATAGCTGAATAACATGGAGTTGTCTATGGTATGTAAATGCATCCTCTGGAATGGTAGTGAGGTTATTATTCTGGAAGCTGATTTGAGAAAGAGACATCTTTTTAAGAAATCCATTAAATGTGATAGCTGATGTAAGTTGGCAACCATTACATTGAAATGTTGTCACTTTAGAACCTTGGAAAGCATTCTCATTGATGAATTTGATTGGGTTTCCATCCAGGGTTATGCTGGTAATCTCAGTTCCCTTCAGTATATCAGCCCCAATAGACTTTATTTCGCAATTTGAAATTCCTAAGGTCTTCAGTTTTGGCAAGCCACTGAATAAACCATCCTTCAAATGTTCAATAGGCGTGCCAGTTATAAGCAGTATCTGAAAATTTTTACCAAATTGTCCTTCACCGATCTTATAGATTACATCTGGATCCAATCGTGTATACCCAAGCTGTAAATTCTGGACGTTTGTTGAATTTTCAAACAGATCATCAGGCAATAGATTTAATCGATTATTGCTCAGGAAAACTTGATCCAAACGCGGAAGGTTAGCAAACAAGCCAGCAGGCAGTGAGGCAATGTTATTATTATTCAAGTTCACTTTAAACAAACGTTTCAAACCTTGAAACACCAAACTATCGTTAAAGGAAAGGCGACGTTGTTGATTAAATATTTCCACGCGAGTTAGATTGTCCACATTCTTAAAACTGTCCCGATTTAAGACGCTTATATCACAATTTTCAAGCTCTAGTTGATTTGTATTATTTGGTAGCCAAGACGATATGTCAGAACGTACGGTTATATCCTTGCATTTAACCTGGTGAATGACCATGTCACATTCACAGCCATTTGGAACCCCCGAAGGACAAGTACCGCCGGCTGAATCCGGGAAAAAATAGCAAGAAAATAGCAAAATAAAGCAGGACAGAACTTTCATGGTGAATGTCGAACGCCTTTCCCTTTTGCTTTATATTAAACGCTTCAGTGTTAATATTTACCAAAGGTGGTTTAGCAGCTGCAACAAAGTCTTTTGTGATTGGATATAACTAGCTTATTGCTAATATGTCCTTAAATATATTAGCAATATATTAAAATATTACTAAAGGCTAGTTTCCACTCAGGAAAATTCTGCTTTGGATCGGACAGGACAGGAAAGTTTCCTTTGTATAAACGCCGCCTGAGAACTCACCGACAAAGGAAATTTTCCTGTCCGTTCCGATCCAAAGGCAAGTGAAAGGAGATTTTTTCTGAGTGGACACTAGCTTCGGTATCCGGCGAGTGGCGACCGCATTTGATTAGCCTGCGACTGCGTGGCAGCCGTGGCAGAAGGTCAGACAAAGCCCTGTTAACACTACGCGCGATATTTGGTACGGCACGGGTAAATCTGACACCTACACCATTTTTATCCGTGCTTGGACTACCTATTTAACTAATTTAGCCCCGTTTACACTACAATTGATTTTTTGGCACGGCACGGCTAAAACGGGTATATCTGTGCCCATTTCATCCGTGCTTGGCCTTTGTTTTGGTAGCCTGAGCAATAATAAAATTGGGCACAGTATCCGTTCTAGCCATGTCGTGCTAATAAATTGAGTGTAGTGTAAACGGGGCTAATATAGACGAAGCAAAATGGTAAAATATCAAAAGCAAAGCACGATTAGTTCGCTGAGCACTTCGCTAAGTGCAGAGTTGCAAAAAAGCGCGGGTAGGTGGGTACCACCCGTGAGGAAGGTTTGCTTTGAATGAGGTTTGTGAGGAAGTTGAACACTCTAATTGATCACATGCATGTACTGAAAAACCTAATATTTCTTTATGCTGGTTGCCACTTGACTTAGTGACGTGACGTCATTTTGAGGAAGGTTTTCAAAACTTGAAATCCTACCGGAGGAAGTTTGAACTCTTTTTGCAACTCTGGCAAATCACTGATCAAGCTTTGATGTGTGGTCTGATGAACTGTCTTGATCTGAACTACCTTTCCTTTCCTTCCTTTCACTACCTTTACTTTCTTTGAACTACCTTTGAATCTTTGTAAAACAATCACCCATAAATGAAAAAATGCAATGGGTGAAATCAAACCAGTCTAGTAGTCCTACATCTGTATAATTTTCTACTCTGCTAAGACACGCGTAAAATACCGTAAATTCCAAACATAGCAGAGTTGGTTGTATGCAAATATTTCAGCCTTTTTCGGGCCAAAATAAATTATCATTATTCATTAGTATTATCAAGACAACAAAAGACCACAAAGATGTTGCTTGCCCTAAAATATGCAGCTATCTACCAACCCTGATATATAGTATCTTCAGCTGTTTGCGATTTACGTACCGTTTAATATGAGTGAGGAAGGTTACGACGGTTATAGTCACGTTAAACAACTAAATGCTGACACTACCGAAGAAGAACTGATTCAACTTTACTCAAAATGGTACAAGACATATGACAAGGTACTTAATATATGTAATCAAAATACCTTCAACTTCTGGTCTTGGTAAAATGTTGCAATTTTAATACCCATTGCTTGGATATTTGGGGTTGGTCAGAAGGATCGGTTGCTAACTGTAGCTCTTTGTTAAAGATTCGATATTTAGGAAAACAGGTTTGGTAATAAGGAAGGGCAATTTAATATAAGGACATTTAATACAAATAATATTAATGATAATATTTATTAACAAGCATATAGGATTATAAATAACAGATTATTTATGTGTATGTTCTATTCATGCCCTCTCAGAAAATAATGTGGACAATTTTGTCCACTATTTCCATGGGTGGCTTGCGCAGCATATGTCACAATTAAATGACAATTTAATCATGCAATTCCTAGCTGACAGGTTGTCACAAAATAAACCCCTATTTGATTTTAATTATCATTTTGGTATATAATATATTTTATAAACTAAGATCAATTAAGTGATAACAGAATTTCCTGTGAAATGTAATTGTCCTGGTTATGACCTATATGTGCCCTGGTTTTGGAGGAATAGGCTTTTCTTCTAAACAAGGGGCCTAGAAGGGGAATTAATTAACTCCCCACTAGCTTGTCCATACAGTACGTGATAAAGGTCATGCACACATTGCAATATAATTGTAATTTGTTTGTGTAAAATAATATGTTTTAGGCTTAGAAAAATGTTAAATTTAGGAGTGGAAATATCTCCTGGAAAAATAGAGAGGCAAATATAGAATGAGGATAATAGTGGATACAGTTCCAACATAACCAGAGAGCTGAGCATGGCAGCATCTTCAAGTTAACTTAGCAACAAATGTGGTATAACAACTGCCTATGATAGACAAAAACATTTCTCAACGTTTCGTCCTGAAGCCTTCGTCAGGAACATCTTTCCAAGGAACATCTTTCGAAGGCCCTCAGGTCGAAATGTCTAGAAGTGTTTTTGTCTATTTTAGGCAGTTGTATTATATTTGCCACATTTGATGGTAGGATAATAGTGCATGAGTAGAAAATACCTTCTTTATTGTTATTTTAGTTATGCCTTCCAACTTTTTCAATAAATATATGTATTATTTAACACAAGAGTTAAGTGAGTGTTTTATCATATTTAAACGAGATGTGTAGCGAAGCATTTTAGATATTATAAAACATTAGTTCAAGTGTTTTAAATTACTTCAAATACACCACATTGTTCCAAATTTTTGCCAAGTATACAGTGCTAATTAGAATGAAAAATTATATAAGGAATACTAATGAATGAGACAAATTATATATCATGTGCCATCCTAATTAGCACTCATATGGTACTTTATCACATAACACATATTATGACTTCTTAATAGGGTTGATTTCACATGCACAGGCTAAAATGCTTATGGATTATTAATCAGTTTTTGAAATGTAGGATTTGTTTAAGTGGCAAAAATAACGAGTGAACACAAGTAAGATTTTTTTTGCCATGAGACTAAATCCATATCTTATCAAAGCCATTTAATGCTTAGACTGTTCTATAGTTATTTTCGTCGCAAGAATACAACACAAAAATTAAAGCATTTTAGTAAAAAGAAGTTCAAAAAAATCAACAAAACACAACAATGACGTAATAATAATCCCTACTGCAGCTTGTTGTTTTGCTTTTCCCAGCCAGAGTTAATAAAATATCAGCGAAACTTCAACTTCAAAATTGAAAAAAAAAACACTGTAAAGAGCTGCCATTGTAATATTACCCATAGAGATTATAAATAACACTAGAGGGGGCATTGGTATCGGAAACATCAGTCGAAAAAGGGAGCGCGATAATGGGGGGCAAATTCAAGTCCCGGATGCTAAGCCAAGCGCTGATTGGCTAGATCAATGCCTCCTTAGCAACCACGTTAGCAACAATTTTAAAAAAATTATATTCGTTATTTAGGTCGCTTTGCCGATTTTTTAAGGAAAAACAGTGCTTTTTGAAACTGGTTTTACTAATTTAGACATCCTGAGACGATATTTTAGGCAAAAAAACATTTAGAAATAAAAAAAACTCGTTAAAAACGACATATTTTGGCCTCGGACATCATGAATGAGTGAACATCCGGGACTTGGATTTGCCCCCCATTAACGCGCTCCCCAATTTCTCCTCGATGACTCCTCTAGTTTTATTTATAATCTCTATGATATTACCGCCATTTTTCGTTATGGCGTGATCACTGAGCTATCATGTCTTCTGGATTGTCTATGCTGTACGTAATAAACCTGGAACGCTAACTTTGCCGCCATCAGTTTGAAGCCAAATTTGAAGGTAGTTTTTGAGCCTTCGAAACAGACGTAGGGAATAAATATCTAGGAATATCTGGAACTATGTAAAATACTATATATTTATAAAAATTGAACGAGAAACAAACAAAAACTCAGTTTTTTGCCTTAACTTTAATCGATAAGGAAATATTGTCAGTCGAAAAATTATATGCTGCATGCGAGGGCAGTAAGATTGTAATGCCATTTAGTGATTATCTGATCTGAATCATCTCATTCTGAGGCAAAAGTATTATTTAATTTCAATAATAATATAGATATTAAACGGTAGATAGCAGAGCTTAAACTCCACTTTATAGGTTAATGAATGGAATTCCCAAAATGCAACTGCTTACAAACTAATACTGTGTTCTTTTGCATAATATATTGCATAATGCAGAAATAGACATTCAATTCTGTTCTTTGTTTTAAACTTTAAAGATTCCGGCTTTTGATCATTCCTTGTTTTAAAGATTCCGGCTTTTCGCATTCTTCAGTTGTTTTAAAGAGTCTGGTTTCTCATTCCTTGTTTTATCGTTTCCTGTTCCCTTCCCCGTTTCCTCGATCCCCCCAAAAAACAAAAATTTTTGCCGACATTTTCAGTGTAATTTGAACAAAGTGATAAATTGTACAATTGACAATTATAAGTGAAATCGGCAACTATTTTGTATCTTGATGAACTTCTTATTATTTTGTAAGGATGTGCATGACCTGGCTTACATTGGTCCAGTTGTTGCAGCAAATCAGTTAATGAAACACCTAAAAGATTTTGGGTATAACAATGACGTCACCATTCTTGATCTTGGCTGCGGAACTGGTTTGGTTGGCGAACAGTTACATAAGAATGGTTACAAAAATATTGATGGCTTAGATTGCTGCCAGGAAATATTGAAAGAAGCAAAAGCAAAAAGCATATACAAGTAAAGTCATTATAGTTGATGTCGAAATTAAAATTATAAATATAACTGGGATATTTCAAACTCATAATTAAGTTCTTTCTGCTGTTCAATGTGTCTTTCAATCTGTGTGTCCTACTTTCTGTCTTTACGTCACTTTAATATTTAGGTACAAAGTATAAAATGTACGAAAGTTGAAAAATATTTTAATCACCTGATGATTTATATAGGTCACTGCAGGAGGGTTACATGGCATCCGATGAATGCAAAGATTTGGGTGTTGGTGCAGACCTATATGATGCTGCCATTTGTGTAGGAGTGTTCACTCTCGGTCACGTGAAAGGTAAAGGCTTCGATGATCTTGTTCACGTGGTCAAACCTGGTGGCTTAGCGTGTTTTAATGTAAATGAAAAAGTCGCAAATAACCCTGAATACAAATACGATGAAAAAATGAGTCAACTCGTTAAAGAAGGAAAATGGAAACTATTATCAAAATACTATGAACCGCAATATTATGAAGAAGGCCAGGCCTGGTTCTATGTTTATCAAATATTGTAAACCTTTTTAGACATATGAACGTAAATTAACTGTTCTCTCTCTCTGAATGATTCTCTCAATTTTTTGCAACAATTTTCACCTCCTATTTTACGGAATAACGATAGAAAAATTAAAATTGTGAAACATGGCTGCATTTAGCCACAAGGGCATAAAAATAAACCAAGTCAAAAATTCGATGAAATATTGCCAAAGAATAGTATATCATAACAGCATCTATAAAGACAGGTTGGTTGTGCGCGGGATATCCACGTGTGAGTACACAAACTCGAAACGTTGCTTCAGCGTTGTACGGTAACCAGAGTTATACATGGCAGCGATATATATTGCTGGTCGTCGTGTTAAGGCTAGTTTCCACTCAGGAAAATTCTCCTTTGGATCGGAACGGACAGGAAAATTTTTTTTGTCGGTGAGTTCTCAGGCGGCGTTTAAACAAAGGAAACTTTCCTATCCTGTCCGACCCAAAGGAGATTTTTCCTGAGTGGAAACTAGCCTTTAAGGCTAACTAGCCTGTAAGGCTAATTTCCACTCCGGAAAACGAGCAGCGGATCTAATCGGATATTTTTCCGAGCTGGTCCGATCCATAAAGTGATTTCGAATCGGATAAAAAAAAGTTAAAACTATTTGAACTTTTTTTTATCCGGTCTCGGACGCTTTCGGATCAAAATAAGCCAAAAATTTCAACAGACGGCGCACGCGCGGATTATCTTTCGTTCCCATCCGATCCGCTGCTCGTTTTCCGGAGTGGAAATTACCCTTAATGTCATCTGATATGTGCTATGTTCACACTGTCGTTCTTGCTGATGGTATCCGATAGCCAAAATAATTCACCGTGAGTACTTAGATAAGACCCCAAACACGCCGAAAGGTGTAGTAATTCTAGTTCGGATTTTATACAAATTTAATATATTTATGAGTTGAAAATTTGCCATGCACGACTAGTTCATATTACAAAAATCATGTTCCAGGTCTGGTCCAGGCCATCTCTTCTCTTGGCCTGAATTTTGCGCCCTAGACCTGACCTGGTCCAGGTCAAGTCAAACGGCACGTAGTGTAAATGCGGGATTAGCCGCATTTTTACAGTGGATGGACGGTGGACTAGAAACTAGACACAGCCACAGACTATACTCTTGGTTGATGAGCATGAGATCAATTAATTTCAAAACCACATTTAGGTCTGATCTTTCGCTTGTATCTCCGCATGGATTTTCTGGCATTAAGGGCATAAACCTTTGGTAGCTTGCCAAACCTCCGAATCTTTTAGCTTGTCTTTAATTTATTCTGAAAAACCTAACCAACTGACGACCGGAAATGAAGGTATTCAATGGGTAAATTCACACTCAAAGTAATTCTACGTCTGTATAATTTTCTACTCTGTCTCAGTAAGACACGCATGGTCTTCACAACGCAAGGAAATTTCCTTGTAACTGTGATAACCACGAGAGAGGGAATCTGAATATTTTATGCATCTTTTTCAAAAGTTCTTTGTTGCTCTCTTTTGTCATTGCTATCCCCCTATGAGGACATTCATATGCAAATACGTTCTCGAAACCCTGAAGACACGCCTTCCATTCATAATATGTATAAGTGTTTAGCATTTGCGGCTCATGAAAGGAATCCAGCCCGGGCTGTGATTTCTAGCTTATCTTGTTTGGGACCGACTGCAAAAATTCTTGAAGGCAAATATATTTAAAAATAAACCTGTTCCTTACCGTGAACCCTAAAACTAACCAGAAGGTATTGTAGATTCAATTGTTTCAATATTAAAAAGGGTTTAAGAAAATTCGAAAAAAGTGAAAATAATAAAGAACATACCAAGGATCGAACTAGGATATTCCGCATGAAGAGCTACCTTTCGACCACTGGATCACTACTGTTGTAGTTTAGCTGTATTAATACTGCTCAAGAACGAAAAGAGATCAAACAGACGTGGTTACAAAGCTATACAATAACAAGCTGGACTTCCTTTCTTTAGCAGGGCTCTCACTTTGGGGAAATTTCCCCAAAACGAGGAAATCTGTGGAATTTCTCTTTTGGGCATATGATTATTTTGGTCTAGTTGGTCACATGTGGCCAATTAAAGTTGCAAATTACGCAAATAGCTATACTTTATGTTACTACGTTATTTATGTCTAAGGAATTCTTCGGAAATCTGGGGAAATTTTGAGAAATTTTTGAGGAATTAATCAATTTTGTTGTGAGAGCCCTGTTCCTTACCGGCAATTGTGTTTAGCTAATAGTTAGTTTGAGATCAAAATCTTTGCTGCTGTTTGCTATTTACATAACCGTTATGAGTGGAAAAGGTTACGACGGGTATAGTCATGTAAAAAAGCTAAATGCTGACACTACCGAAGAAGAACTGATTCAACTTTACTCACAATGGAGCAAGACATACGACAAGGTATTTAATATATGCAATCAAAATACAAGAACTTCAATGTAGCCTTGTAACATGTTGCCAAACTTAATACTGGGATATTATTGACTGACCCAGAGGGAAGGAAGTTTCTCGTGGACCCGAGACCACCAGACGCAAAGAACGCGTGACAAGCAATGAAACATAGTGGTCGATCTCCACAAAACATGTTTCCTGATGATATCAATCAATAAGTGTTTTATTATATAGCAAGTTTCAAAAGAAACAACGAGTGAAAATACGCGACAAAAACGTAGGCATAGACACTTTTCATCCCCGAGCCGGTGCGGAGCACCGCGCGCTTGCGAGGGTACTAATTCCGCTCGGATATTTACACCCAGTCACCCACGATGTGCAAATGCGAAATCAAAGTCACAGAATAGACATTATACTGTTAAAATGGGCAGCTATTTTGTATCCTGACGAACTTCCTATTATTTTGTAAGGATGTGCATGACCTGGCTTACATTGGTCCAGTTGTGGGAGCAGATCAGTTAATGAAACACCTAAAAGATTTTGGGTATAACAATGACGTCAGCATTCTTGATCTTGGCTGCGGAACTGGTTTGGTTGGCGAAGAGTTACATAAGAATGGTTACAAAAATATTGATGGCTTAGATTGCTGCCAGGAATTATTGAAAGAAGCAAAAGCAAAAAGCGTATACAGGTATCTATACGGTCATTACAGTGAATGTCAAAATTAATATCGTAAGCATTCGGTTGGCATTTGTTGCTTTTATAATTAAGCAATAGGCATATAGCCATAGGGCTGTACTACCACATACGTTCATGATCGACACATGTGTCATGTCCTATAATTTCACTTGTAATATAAATATAATTGTGATGTTCACAGTTAAATAAGTTTGCGAACAATAGGAGTTATCCGAATAACCGAATGACGGTTTTTCAGTGTAATATGTCTTGTATGAAGTGTTTTGCAGTTTAATAGGAAGATTTAGCATGCATGAGGACGTGAACGTCAAAGACGACATGAAAATGGCGAGTAAATGGCGTGGCATGTCCATATTTGGGCGAATCACGCCATTTATTCGTCATTTTCACGTCGTCTTTGACGTTTACGTCCTCGTGCTAAATTGCCCTAATATGTCTTTCAATCCGTGCGCCCTACTCCATGCCTTTACGTCACATCAATGTAATAAAGACAAGTATGGAAGTACCTGCTCAGTACGAGAAAGATTTTAATCACGTGATGTTTTATATAGGTCACTGCAGCAGGGTTACATGGGATCCGATGAATGCAAAGATTTGGGTGTTGGTGCAGACCTATATGATGCTGCCATTTGTGTAGGAGTGTTCACTGTTGGTCACGTGAAAGGTAAAGGCTTCGATGATCTTGTTCACGTGGTCAAACCTGGTGGCTTAGCGTGTTTTAATGTGAATAAAAAAGGCGCAGATATTCCTGAATACAAATACCATGAAAAAGTGAATCAACTTATTGAAGAAGGAAAATGGAAACTGTTATCAAAATACTATGAACCGCGATTTTATAAAGAAAACGAGGCTTGGTTCTATGTTTATCAAATATTGTAAACCTTTTCAGAAATATGTACGTAAATTAACTCTTCTCCTTCTGAATGATTCTTTCTAATTTTTTGCCAGCATTCAAAAAGCGCGGGCGTACGTTATGTATCAAATTATACTAGGCTAAGATAATTTAAACTTAATTTAAACTTTAAATTTTAACTTATAATTCTACATCAAATAGAGTGTAAAGACCTGGGTTTTACCGAAAAGAATAAACTTGCTGGAAAAATGACATCTAGGGATCGAGTATGTATGGTTAAACTTCCAAAGCAACTATTACTCTAGTAAATTGAATTTGAAAATAATTATTTAAGACTGATTTTCACCAGTACAGCTGGAATGAGCTCTCAAAATAGAAAGTTTGGTTGTGATATATTGTTAAGTGGCAATTTTGAAGGTAAATATCATTTATCGGCGCGAAGAAGCATTACCACACAAAGTTGATATTTGTTATCATCTTCTTAATATGTAATAATAATCAACAGGACCACGAGTTTTAAGGCACACTCCATGATTTCGAGTTATCTAACAGTCTTAATCTTTATGAATCGAAGTACGCACGTGCTATATTTAATCTCGGGTAACCGGATGTTTTTTTACCTACTTTTTTATCACCAAGGACCGGTTATATAAAAAGGGAGTTGACTTATAGGTAGTCGCAAGAATTAGCCAATCATGAAATTCTTTATGATAACTAAGATTTAACTACTGATATCGTATATTAGAGTTTTCTTACGATTGGGTACCACGCCTCTGCCACAACAATCATGCAGTTACACCTCCGAGATATTTTTTGATTGAAATCCGAGTGGTACTGTTTGTTTACATCCTTTTATATGAACATAATTTCTAAGCAAAACATACAAAATTTAATTTTTCTACTACAATTAGTTCTACTTTCTCATATTCATGACGCTGACTGCACGTTTCAGCCCGTTTACGTGGTTTTTATATTGTCCTCGTTTTCTTGAAAGTTGATCTGAGAGACTACTGCAGGAAGATGCTGATCGCGGAATCTTTCGTCGTTTTGCTTGAGGGAGTTCGTTTTCCTTTGAATGGCACCTTCGAAAAGGGGGAAAATTATAAGAAAGGAAACGTTTTTGGGCGTAAGCCGTTTTGTTTTTTGTTTTCAAAAGATTCAAATCAATTTCTATTTATCTTTCAAAAGTAAAATAAAGCGCATGTATTGTTGGTTAGGGAAAAAACTGATTGTTGATGATAATGGCGATGTTAATCATTTAACAATAACCAAAATGAGCGAGGTGAGATTTGATATGCAAGCCATATTGTTTTAAATCAATTTTTAAAATTTGAAGTTTCGCATGATGTGAGTTGGGTAAAGCCAGGACATTCCGAAGCTTGTATTCAATTTATTTTCATACATATATTTATGTGTGTAGACTTTGACTACGTTCACACTGAACCGGACCAATTGGATCCGTGCTAAAATTTGACTGGTTCATTTTATTTCGCCAGTTTTTATTGGACCAGTTCTACGTGTTAACGAGCACGGTCCCCAAATTGACTGGTCCTGTGTGAACGTAGCTTTGTTTCAATCATGAACTCATATGCTAGTTATCATCACATTCCATAGCTGGTTTTGAAACGAGTGTAGAACATCAGCTGCTACTCTACCAACCTCTTAGGCAGCATATCTATTGCTGTGATCTTCTGTGCAGCAGACTTTGTCAGAGACGCGTAACCAGGAATTCGTTTTCCATTTTCACCTCCTATTTTACAGAACAATAATACAAAAATTCAAAAATTGTGAAACAAGGTTGCATTTAGCTACAAGATCAGATCATGAAAATAAACCAGGTGAAAAATTCGATGAAATATTGCCAAAGGAAGTTTATATGAAAACAGCATCTACAGAGGTTGGTTGTGCGCGGGATATCCACGCGTGGGTACACGAACTCGAAACATTGCTTCGGCGTTGTACGTTGTATATGGGCAGAAATATATCGCTGGATCATCGTATTAGGACAGCAACCTTATGCTGATTTTTGCTTAGCGCAACATGCTTGGCGCAACGTCTTGCATCTGGTCCATTTCGGATATTTAGACCGAACCAGAGAGCTCGCAAATGTGCAGCTTTAAAATATTTATTAATCAATTAATCAATCAGAACAATTTATATAACAGAGAAGCTCAAGTTCGATAGTTATACTAAAAGATATTTAAAGATTTACCTGAAGTTAAATTCGCCCTTTTTCTTGAATTTGAAGTATCTATATTCGTCGTATTGCTTTGTGCACGAAGTGGTGGCCCAATACATCGCTTTTTAACCGCGGGTGGCTTTCCTTGTAAACGTTTATCAAATGCGGTCTTAGGCGCCTAAAAGAATATAATTTTCGTTATATTTTTATACATACTTGTAACACAACAGAAAGAAAAGCTAAAAGAATATTTTACTCTCATGATTTTCCAGCATGATAGTAAAATACCTTAACTGTGCTTAAACAGAACGTACGTCAAAGCGAATGGCATTTTAAAATTAGTATCAAGTTGGTTGAAAACATGCAAATTCGCATAATACCTTTAACCTAAAAATATATTCCATATATATACTGAAAGTTTGTCTAAGTAAGGGCCACAGACATTCTAACATTAAAGATCTCTTCTGTCTTATGAATTCTTACGAAACCAAATTTCTAACTAAAGGCCTCAGAATTGCGACCTCAAAACTCCAGGTTTAAATGCTTCGAAATGACGATCTTTTTATATAATTCAAATTATCTTACCAGTAATGAAGCATCGTTCAGAACACTGGACGTATTCTCCACCGTCTGTTTAGGGTCTGAGTCACTTGCTAATCCAGCAGACGTTGACGATGGCATTATAAGCTCGATATTTGTTGAATTACCGTTCCCGGATGATCCATCTTGATTTAACGCACTCAGTAAATTCAATCTCACAGGACAAGGGGATTTTGCTTGACTCACTGCAGTTCGACCCGAGTTAATATTATAAGTTCCTGGAGCGACTTTCGTTGTCGAGGTTTTATTGTCTACCGGAGATGGCAAGGTTGAACTCAGTATTAAGGTCGGCGTTTTTACCACTCTTCTTGGAGTGCGATCAAAACTAGTGTCGATAATCTTTGACCTTGATGGCGTTCCATGTGGTGTGTCTGAAACACACAGCAAGTATTCAGTTAAATGGGATAACACGTTTACTTAACTATTACTAACTAGCCGTCCAACATTTTTATTGGCCCCAGAAAAATCCTAAAGAATAGACCTGAAAAATCGGTTATAATTCCATGTTGTTTTAAAATTTAAAAGGACAACTCAATTCACAAAGGAAATTGACCAAAAAGATAAATGACCATCTCATGGAAACCCAAAAAAATAATTCATCAGGACTTTTTTAACTTTGCCTTGACCCTAAAATCCTGGTCTGGGATAAATATTTCTCTGCATAATTACCAAAACCGTTCTTTAATTTATTTTCAGCATTTTTAATGACATCAAGCGGTTCAGGCTCTTTCTCAGCGACGACCACACTCTGGTCGGCCCAGGCTACCTCCCGGTTATCCTCAACAATAGTGACGATATTTTCATATTCTTCGTTCGTCTCATTCGTGTTCATGCCAGATGATTTAAGAATCCCGTGTTGCTTCCGTACAAACTTTAATAAAGAATCTATCAAACTAGGAATAGAAAAATAATCCATGAAAACCCAATTATTCATAAATAGACTTTATGAAAAGGTCATGGGTTAGTGGAAATACACTTCCGGGTTCAAGATTAATCGACTGCTGAATTGGTCATAAACGTTCAATAAATATGTATATTCAGAACACAGGTGACGTCATGCAGGTATTTTGAGACGTGAATGAATCTGAGCTGCTGTAATTGTTTTTAATTCACGCCTTTTAATTAGCGTGCATTTCATGGAAATATGTTACATACCGTTTTTCGCGTTTTCGTTGTGATTCATGATTCTGAAGACATTTCTTATAATATTTACACTCTTGTTTCAGTTCCTTTGCGATTAACTCATTCGCACATGAAGTTTCATAAACATTAAGAAATGTACGAGAGTTAAACGAATCATCGACTGGAGCATCAATCAAATTGATTTCTTCCTCAGTTCGTCGCAACCAATCTTCATTCTCCTTCGCTTGCTCGTTCAGTTTGTCCCTTCGTTCTTTCAGATGCTTTAGTCGAGACTTCGTGGCAGACAAACATTTTCTCACTCTGGTTTCAACCTGAAGGATTGGAAGAGTAAGAATTCGAAGTGGAAATTTGCCAGTATACACTGGGAAGCTGGGATTTATTAAGCCAAAGTTGAAAAATATTATTAGTGGTACTGCATGTCATTTGTTTGTTAAGCCTCGACGCCAAGCTGAAGACGAACATATACATGGTATACAATGGTACATTTGTGTACTTAAATAAACGGACGTGAAAGAAGTCGAGTATGAGTTTAATAACTTGGCAAATCCAAATATAATACTGTAGCTTGGAAAATCTCTGGTACATCACGTCATCTTCTCGTCACAGTCTGATTTGTTCAGGTTGAAGTATTCAAACAAAAATGAAGTTACCTTGTTCGTTTTTGAATCGTCGTGTGAGAGAATATTCATCCATTCAGCATTTCTTTGCTGTAAGGAGATGAACAAAGAAATTGTTATATTACCACCAAGTTACACAATGAATTAGTTAATTTAAGATTTTGAATCAAATGAATATGTAACGCACTAGCTGAAAAAAGACTTGAAGAAAGTAATTTGAAAAACACTTTAAATGGCGAACTGATTCAGTTACCTTTCTATGCAACTTCTCCATCATTTCCCTTTCTAAGCATTCTACATCACGAATGTTCTTTTTGATGTCAGATTTTTGGTTGTAAACTGACTTGATTTCAGATTTTATCCTAGGAAGAGAAATATGATCTGAGAGTGTTCTTAAACAGCTGTATAAGTTTTTTAAACATGCTTGGTAAACCTCTCGAGTAAATAATATTAAAAACATGAGATAGGGTTAAATAATTCATGTTTATAAAAACGGAGATGTATTCACCATGTAAAATAATGTTTAATAATAAATTAAACTCATTCGAAAATCAATTACGCGTTAACAGCACTGTATGTAAAATGTTATTTTTTTATATCTTTGTGTTTAGGGTCTTAATATACCTTTCAACTTCGACTTTCTTCCGTGCTTCCACTTTTCTATTCATTGGTGTAGCTTCTCCTGTTTCAAACTTATTCAACCTTTCTTTCAAACGACCGACCTAAATTAAGTGTCAAAATTTGCCGGGTATCATATTAAGTAATTTCTAATCAATAACCAATACTCACTTTTCAGACTATATCAAAGATTTCAGGCCACCAAATATTTTTCAGACTGATCAAAGATTTCGTATATTTACCTCTCCCTGGAGTTCTGAAACCAGCTTAGCATATTGACTGACATGCACATCAACACTAACAACATTCTTGATAATATTTGATTTAATGTTTTTAGCCCGATCAGCATACTTCAATGTGTTGTATGTATCTTCATATGACAGACTAGAAGGACTAGACAGGAATAAACATTAATGGATCAGAAAATACAACATGAACAGAGACTAACGCTTTATTAGCGGTAAAAAAACTAAATTCTATTAGAAAAAAAAACAATATTAATATTTCAAAAATAAAATTCATGTACTGAGAGCTAAGCTAAAAGTTTTAACGACATCGCGCGCAGGTTTAAAAATTCTAAAGTTGAGATGACGCAAACTTGGGACGTAACCGTTACAAAATATTAGCAATTAATTAGCAAACAAACACTATTTATTGTCGCAGCTCACCTGACAGCAGCAATCATTACCGTTCTACAATTCCCGCCAAGGGAGTCCTTCAAGATTCTCGTTAGTTTGCTATTACGATATGGGATATGAACATTCTTCTATATAAATGAAAATGCATACAATGCATGAGCTTATAGTTTCTTATACTGGAGAAGTCACATAGTTCGAGCGTATACAAAATGCAGTGCGCACCGAGAGTGGGGTGGGGGAAGGTTTGCGTATTCTTGGTAATTCTTGTGGGTGTGATCGTCTCAGACCGTCACGGTGCAGGTCGTTAACAGACAAGCCCGATTGCAGTCAAGTCACATTAACTGGTAAGTTAATAAGTACTATATTTTTATTCCTAAAGAACACGGGTGGATCCAGCACTTAGAGTGCACTTATTTGCATGACACAAGAAAACTGCTAAAAATAACCACTTTGTTTTTAATGCAAATTAGTGCACTAGTGCTGGATGCATCCGTGCCTAAAAACTCAGACCACAAATGGCTTGATCGCAATTAAGCGCCATTTTTTCTTCAGCGCACGCCATAGAATGTGGTTGGCAACTCTCGCTCAAATTCTATTTTGTACGTTTTATATTAAATTCCTTTTAGAGAGCTAGTTCAGATATTTTTAAACAGAAAGCTTGAAGTAATACAATATATATTCCTACATGGAACTCTACTGTACCTTATTTTCGGCTAAAGCGTTGATACAGTTTCCAAGAGCCAACAATGACTTATTGATATTCGCTCCTTCGCGCATCCTGGGCCCTCGATTCTTAGTAACGGTCGCTCGTTCAGAACCAGCAAGATCTATCAGAGACATCTTTGCAATTTGAACATCAGTTTTGAGACCGGATGCTGCATTTTTCTGTCTGATATAAACTTGAAAAACTGCATGAGATCGGGATGAGGTGGCATTGGCGTCTGTTGGATGTTGACTTCTGTTGTTATTACCATATTCCAACATCCCAAACAACTCTTCTGCACTCTTTGGCTATAGACGTTTGTTAACAGAGATGATGATTGTACCAACACTATATTCCCGGATATATCGATACATGGTCGCGTTCTGCCCTTTCAATCAAATGGCTGGTGCGCATGCCCAGCAAATGCAGTGACGTAGGAGAGCTAATGGTCAAATTCATGACCGCAACTCCACAAATTCTGAGTCAAACTCAATGCAACTTTATCAAGAACTATTTATCCACTTTCTAATTCGGCGAGTTCAATCATACTGACCAGCTATAGTCTTACATGTTTAAATGTTGAGCATGCGCACATTAAGTTCGAATGACCATGCATTGAACGTTTAATGTTCACGGTACAATTAATATGAGATAGAATTTGAGCAACCTTGGATTCCGCTCTGTCACATGTATACTAACATACCCGGGTGTATTGCTAATATCCGGGCGGAATTAGTACCCTCACCCAGCGCTGCCGGCGCGGGGATTACAATAACAATAAAGTAACTTATAATGGGGAAGTTATAATTACCTGATGTAATGTGAGATTCTTGACACAGACACCTCTCTGCGGGTCTTCTCTCATTGCAAGTTCTTTACCAGGCATCAACAGATCTCGTATATTCTCATTATATACCTGAAATATTGTTTAAACAATTAATGCCAATAGACCAATCACCATTTAATGTCAATAGATCATTTAATGTCAATAGATCATTAAATGTTTTAAAAAGCGACTGGAAAATAATATAGCCTTGCCCGATAAGCATGTGGTTTCGTCATAGTATTTCATATGTATGCAACAAGACGCGAGATAGGCGTTCACTCTGGCTGCTGGACGCGGTACGTATTAATCAAAAATATTTGTAAATCGGAATTCGTTTTCATGTACAGATCTCAATAATATGAATATATAGTGCTCACAACCAGTCAACCACAATGTCAATGATACATTCAGTTCACTTCTTTCTGTGTCAAACTGCAGGCCAGTACGACTCAATCAGTCACTTCCAGTTCCAGGACCATGGCAAAATCTTCCAGGATCCTACAGGATTATTGGTAGATCCTGCAAGATCCTGGCATCCCGATCTTGACATAATCTTGCATGATAATGATGATTTAGATCAGATCTTAGAAAGATCTTGGGGTACACATTAAGCTGATAACAGAATGATATGAGTAGATTGCTCGGTAAACCAATGCCTGATCTCCATTTTGCAAGTCTATATCCTGCAGACACTATATCCAATGCCCCCTAACTGTAATAATTATGTCCACCCGCTGATCATCATGGTGAACAGCAAAAGTTGTGAGGCACGTACCTCAGAGGTCTATTTTATCTGCATTTGTACACTACTGGTTAGCTTGGCTCGGGGTGGCTGAAATCATCAATGGGGATTACTGGCTATTTCAGACAAAAATGCCTGATTTGAAGCACAATTAATCGCCCAGAATTTAATTGCTGCTCACCATTGTCATGCAAGTGGACAATATTGGTTATAGTACAGTGTACATCCGACTGGATAGTGGCAAAATGGTTATAATCTCATGGCTGGGTACCTCATAATTAAATTGTTTCCCTGAGGTGATCGATGCATATAATAATAAAAAATTAAGAAAATTGAAGTTAAACATCATCAACATACCGAAAAACAGTAACAAGATCTCAAACAAAAATAATTCACAGTCAGAAGTTGAAGGAATTAATAAATTAAGATACAATTTCATATATCTGACCTGCATGAGGTAATGCAGCAGTGGTGATTAATTAGCCTTGGTGCTGAAATTGATGTTGAATGGGGAGCTGGCTATTTTCATTCAAAATGCCTGGACAATTAACAATTAACTTCTAGACAATCTGGGGGGGGGGGGTTGCAAACATCCTAAAACTCTGTCTCCACCTAACTTTTATTCCTTTACTATGATTACTGTGAATTAATTAATACCTGGCAAGATTATGATGATGCAGGATGACATATTAGGCTAACATTATAAGCTTGCAACTCTATTCATATATATAAACATTAAATTATTGCACATGAATATGTGTGAATAAAATATATATGTGGCTGTATAAAGGTGACACTATATTATTGAAAGCAATCCTACCTCAAGATAAGACACCGCGACTTCACACGTTTTCTCATGTTTCATTTCCTCAATCCTCTTATACAAATCTATCATAGTTAGAAGCATCACGCCCGGCGTTTTATCATTTCCCAGCATCGTATGTGTTTTCCCTGCACCGGTAGCTCCGTATGCAAACACAGTGCAATTATATCCCTGAAGAACACCGTCAACAATGCTTCTCGTGGTGTGTTGAAATATATCTTCATTCGTTGCATTTTCATCAAATACACGATCAAATATGAATCTTAAATCTTTTACCCGCCGATCTAAAATGTTACTGCGTCGACGGGATCTTTTACTTGGTATAAAACTGTTGGCGTCAAAATCATCCACAGGATCAAATACAATCACACGTTCGTCCATAGGTCTCACGACATTTTTGTTATTCTTTAAACATTCTGCACTGTTCAAAGGTCTTACACGAACCACAACTTTCACGCTACTAGATTGCTCCGTCTTTGACTTTGCACCTTTGTATACCATCTTCGATCTAAAATGTGATCAACCTAAAGAAATCAATTTATTTTTATACGTTCTTTTCTAGTATTTATATGCTTCGAATAATCGAATTCTTCGAGTTCACAACATACATTTGAAATTTCTGTTCTACGGAATATCCTCCTCTGATTGGTCCATCTTTGTGCTAGCCACATTCTGATTGGCTCATTTAGAAAAGTCGTTTGGCATCTTAAACTTGATACTTCATGTAAAGAAAAATGAACTGTATCAATTTGAGCTATTTTACTATAGTGAAAATGTGAAATACATAGGCCATATTAGCCATATATAAAGAAACTTGCTCCAAAAACAATCATCTTGTTAACTTGGGAATATGAATTGTATAAAACAAGACAACAATTTGGGCTAGACTACAGTTTAGCGGACGCCTTTCTATCGCTGACCTACAAAATCGGTTTACGGGCCCCGACTATGGGCCGAGCACAAATGAATTGGGCACGGCATGTGGGCACGGGTACCCATTTTGGCTGTGCCGTGCCAATAAATTGCGTGTAGTGTAAACGGGGCTTATATATAGTTAATGTAGTTATTGGGGTGCTATAATTTGTTCACATCGCGACAAAACAGATATACAAAGTAAGTAATAGAGACAAACGGCTGGAACTAGTGTACCCACTTTTTTAGTGTTCATATTCGCTTCCGGCGTGTACGCATTAGCGAATACAACATCTATTATACGACACAATCGCTTGCTTTTTGCTAGCAATTTTATCATATAAACATTTCGTAAAGTTGTTTTGGGATGTAAGGTGTCCCTGGCTGGTACCCGAGATCATATAAACAGCGCCGAAATCTAAAAATCCGAGGTGGGAACATCCCACCTCTGCCTTGAAGAGCTATTAAATTCACGAGCGAGGTCCCTGAAGGATATTTTATGCTTGTCGGCTTTTCCTATCAAGTATAAACACAACAAATTTCGCCCAGAGCATGGTACACCCACAAATGTATTTGAATATGCACCTCTGAACGAAATATTGTGACATGTTGAATATATCACTTTCTAAAGTAGCGAGCTTTTTACATGCTTTGTGTTTACACGCGCGCGGGGAAAACTGATCCATTTTCCATTTTCTCGGAAAAGAATTAGATATCAAATTCCCGCGCGAAATTCAAAAAGAGGTACACACACTTGCCGTTCTCTAGGCTATATATTCACGGCATTTACAGTATTATTAACAAAAATGATATGCTCTTGTGTAGCATTGGCGTCGAAACACAAGCTAGGTCTTTCGAAGTATCCAGTTGTAACTTGTAAAAATTATGTGGCAAGCTGATGACAAATTGACAATCTTGTTGTGACTCGTAGGCAGTGGGCTTCTCGTGGGCGTAATGTGGAATATCTCTATCGTCACCCAACCATCACCCTGCCCACTTTACCAGCCAATCAGAACTCTAATTTCCGCCCTCAATTTCCGCCTGGCGAGGTCGACTGCTGAGGCAAATAACCGGCAAAAATCGCATTGAATGTTACATCAGAAAAATTCTTGCGGACTAAAATTACTCCCAATAATGGCTCTTTCTTTACGATCTGCATCAAGACTTTCTTCAAAGGTTAATTTGGCAAGAAAATCTGCTTGTATTGCTTTGGTTTGTACCGTTATTTAACATTCCTAGTTCTGTAATTCATATAGTCCGTTTACCGCCGTGTTGTGAATATAATTGTTTAATAATTGTTCTCGATGTAACATAACACGTTATACGTACTTCTTAAATTGAAGTTTTGTTCGATTTAAATATTGTCTTATCTGTTACCAAACAACACGACAACGCTACAAGCTTATCCTCTATACTTATCAGTGAACGTCGTGTATTAAAGTTGAGCAATTAGGTCGTGTGGTAATTGAAAACAAAGTCGGATTATTCATGCAATACAACTGTTATATACGTGGCCAGTTAAAAATTTCTTCGTCATAAAGCTCAGAGATTGATTAGTATTATAAATAGATCGAGATTAACTGAGCAAATTCACGGTGATTTGATCATAGATCAATCTTCGATGTTTCGGTCTTTTGTTATGTTGCACTGAAGTAAGCAATTAATAGTATGAAATTCTACCATAATTGTAGTGACTTTCCAATATTATAAAAATAACGTTCATTTATAATCTGGTACTCATGTTTGCATCTGCATTGTTTCATCTTGATATGATATTTAGGATATATTCCTTGCCATCTATATTTAGAGATATTTTAGTATTTCCTTATCAAATAAATTCAGTAACCCTGGACCCCCTGCTATGAAATATGTGCTCATTTTGTTAATTAAGAGACTAAATTGCATGGAGATTTCCACCCATGCTTAACTGATATTTAATGCTTAAAAGGTGGCAGGGATTTCAACTCGAGCAATTTCTCTATCCACGCAGTTAAACTTGTTTCATCATTTTATGACAATAATGTTGAGTTACAGCAATGAGGTCTGAAATTTCAGTCAATGTACCTTTAACTGATAAGCTGTATTTTTTCAGCCTGAGGGGAAATTATTATTATGTAACCCCAAACTGCATTTTATCAGAATTTTGTAATAATAATTCTGGACTGAAGCTTTCCTTTAAGGCTGGGCCAATTAAAATGGTCAGACCTATCATATTTTGAATTGAAATTATTTCATTGAAAGTTAAGCACTGCATTTCAAGACAGAGGTAAATAACTGTATATATTTGAATCGAGATTCCTTGAAACACTCTGTCTGTTTTTACCTAAAGGCCTCAGTGGTAATTATGAGCACCTGGGCTGCAAGGTCTCCATGTATTAGTCTCTGAGGTGAGGAAAAGGTTCGTTATTGGTAGAACCAAATAATCGGTAGAGAAAAATAGGTAGAGAAAAAATCTGAGGTGAGGAAAAGGTTTGTTATTGGTAGAACCAAATAACCCACACAAACTCACCAGATCAGTTTGGGTAAAAAAATGTTTTGAATGTAACATTTTTAAATTTACTTATAGTAGCTTCTTCTCATTTCTCTCTTCTAATAACAATGGTAGACCAATATATCTTACTTGAATTTTATATATGCTTCATATGTTTCCTTACTTATACGAGCAATTAAAGCAACCAAAAATTGGCATTTCAACCCTGTCATACATACATGTAAAAATTTCATCATAGTAATTATTCTACCATATTTAACCATGGTAATAATTAGACCACACAGTACTATAACTTTAACTAACCCTGTCTGTTACAAAATAATGCGCCACCCCGAAGTATTATTGGCAGTGGCCTTTTCTTACGGTTCAACCTATTTTTTCATTTGTAGAAAGTTCTTCCAAGATGTATGTCATCTTTGCCGGATATAATGGTAAACAAATTAAATATATTGCATTTAAAATCAGCTTAAAGTCAATGTTATATAACACTGTTAAATATGAAGAAAGGAAAGGTTTCAGAAATTAAATTCAAGACTGAAATTTTGCCAGTTCAAGCTAGTTGATAGAGGTGTTGTATTAAAGAGATGTAGTACAGAGTTGTAGGCAGTAAAGAGATGTAGTCTCTGTAGTTTACAATATTTTGCTTATTTGAGTTAGTTACTGTACAATAGTATTTTAGTCTTCAGACAATTTTTTTGCAGTCTTTAAAAACTCACTCAATACATGTTTATCCATACAATTGCACATCACTATATTCATGACTATTATTTATTGATCAGCGAAACGAAAATGCAGTGCACATAATTATGTGACAACAAAAGACTATTTGCAAAAAAACTATCATACACAAACATGGGAACATAGACCTGTATATCTTGATTCTTCAAATACTGCAGATTCAATATTACCAAGGAGCAGTTTGGCAGCGTCTTCAAACCATTACACTTCAAATGTGGTATAACAACTGCCTAAAATAAACAAAAACACTTCTCGACACGATGTTTCGACCTATGGCTATAGTAATTAGGCATAGCCAGTGTTGGGGCTTTGTCAGGACTCACGAGAGGTCGCCTGCGTGCCCAAGAACCTATTAAAATTTTCCACTTCCACAATTCAAAACATATATTTTTAATGAGAAGAAAAACAGTAAATCGATGAACCGACTAAAATAAAAACAGAGATGTCCGCACGCTCGTCTGAACACACAATGAACGAGCTGTCCAATCATATTCATCGATAAGCGTTTGGCGGGAACTTGTTGACAACGCAACAGTGCCTAGCACTGGTGCGCGTCACTTTTCTGGCGCCTATTTGAACATGACGCTTGCAAATAGAATTGGGCACGGTTCTCAAGAACGTGCACTACCTCCAGGGGCGGTACTCAACAAGGGCACTGTGTTCAGCATGTTTTATGAACCTGTTTTGACTTTGGGCACCGGTGCCGGGCATTCAGTCTGAACACCGGCTTAAGCCCCATACACTTTGGTCAATTTAAATTTTGTTAAGGATTATATTGAGAATGATGAAATTTTGACTACCTAAATAGATGGCCGAACTCTCCTGACGAAGGTCCCTACTAAGGTTGAAAAGTCGAGAAGTACTGTATTTTTGTGTATTTCAGGCGGTTTTCATACTACATGTGAAGCATATAGATCTCCATACGCCTTTCCTTCAAATTGTTTTAGTCTGATAATCTTAAGTTCACAAAACGTTCAACGCTGAAAGACAAACCTACGGATGTCAGCAATATTGAATTTGGTACAGTGTTCACTGATCATATGTTAACAGTACGGTGGTCATCACGTGGTTGGGAAAACCCAGAGATCAAACCTTATGGAGATATCACGTTAAGCCCTGCTGCTAAAGTCTTTCATTATGCTGTTGAGGTAGGACTGACTGTACTGTCACGAATTAAAATTTAATTAACAACTGTCTAAAATAGACAAAACACTTCTCGACGTTTCGACCTGACAATGAAGGCCCTCAGGTTGAAAAGTTGAGAAGTGTTTTGTCTATTTTAGGCATATGTTTTACCACATTTGATGCTAAGATATAATATCGAACGAGTGAGCGCTGCGAAATAATCGAAGTAAATTAATAATAACTCGAAATAAATTCCATATTTTCGCGCAATTAACCATGTATTCTCTATTCCCTCATTAACGCAGAAAGCCTAATATTACACGATTCTTTATTGGCTGAAAAGAGCCAATCAAATTTCGTTTGAAGTCAGCTATTTTCCGCGGCGTTTGATATCATTATGAGAAAAATATATGCTGTTATATAAATGAGTGAATGATGGGTGAGGAACACGACAATTCAGACCAAAAAGGAAACATTACGAAAAATAAAACTCAAATCCTCTGCAACAATTATTGCATTGACAATTAAATTGGTTAATCAAATTTTGGAGGCCCGCCGTGGCCATCTCTTAGTGATAGCTGCCTCTGATGAATTAATATATTTTGTGGGGACACTAAAACCAACCCCCCCGCATTTCCTTTTGGGGGCTGAAACAATCGTACCTCCCCCATGCATGCTCCGCGGCCAATGCCATGGCGATCTTAATTTCCGAAGTCAATAATTATGAGAATTCTTTGTAATTTTGTTTAAGGGTTTTGAAGGTATGAAAGCGTATTTTAATTCGTCTGATGGCAGTATAAGATTGTTTCGACCAATGGATAATATGAGGAGACTTCAAAGAACCGCTGAGAGACTGCGTTTACCGGTGGGTTATATCAATATATGATTAGCTAAGTTTTAGACCACGAACTTCGCTAAGATAACTGAGATACAGTAGAGGTTGTGGGATACAGCAGGGGATGTGCATGAGATACAGTAAGGGTTGTGAGATACAGTAGGGGTTGTGAGATACAGTAGGGGTTGTGAGATACAGTAGAGGTTGTGAGATACAGTAAAGGTTGTGAGATACAGTAGGGGTTGTGAGATACAGTAAAGGTTGTGAGATACAGTAGAGGTTGTGAGATACAGTAGGGGTTGTGAGATACAGTAAGAGTTGTGAGATACAGTGTTGTGAGATACAGTAAAGGTTGTGAGATACAGTAAAGGTTGTGAGATACAGTAAGGGTTGTGAGATACAGTAAGGGTTGTGAGATACAGTAGGGGTTGTGAGATACAGTAGGGGTTGTGAGATACAGTAGAGGTTGTGAGATACAGTAGGGGTTGTGAGATACAGTAAGAGTTGTGAGATACAGTGTTGTGAGATACAGTAAAGGTTGTGAGATACAGTAAGGGTTGTGAGATACAGTAAGGGTTGTGAGATACAGTAGGGGTTGTGAGATACAGTAGGGGTTGTGAGATACAGTTGGAATTGTGAGATACAGTTGGAGTTATGAAATACAACAGTATCAAATAGGTAAATTAGCTTGTAGATACACCACGTAAGTATTTAATACTGCAAACCTTTCGGTGCGTTAACCCGAGCCTTCATCAGTGCAATAACGGACCGAAAGCTTTGCAGTATTAAATGTAAGTAGCTACGTAGTGAACCTAGAAGCTAATTTGTCACCATACACGAATATTAGCATCAGATAGACTGTTTTATCTTCACAGAATTTTGATGGGGACGAGTTCTTGAAATGTATAGTAGAGTTAATAAAGATAGATAAAGATTGGGTTCCTAAAGAAGATAGTTGTTCTTTATATATTCGACCAACGTTTATTGCTACAGGGGTAAGTACTGTAGCAAACGTTTTCATGCATATAAATGATATGTAATACTGTAGAAATAATGAAATTGTTTTATAATATTGTACTAAACGTAAATTGTGCATGACAACAGATATTTATCTGTCCCGCGTTTTTAAAAGTAAAAAAGAAACGAGATTTCCCCGAATCCGTAAAAAAAAACGGCCTGAAACGTAGTTTAATTATCATTGCGCTGCAAATAAAGAGATATCTCCGTAGATATCGCCGGTCAAAGTGCATGGCCGCTGACCTTATTTTAGCTCAGAACCGTTAAAATTTGTTGTCAGTATGTGCATGCAGCTATATTGCTTTTGACGAAATCTCTGTGAACCGATATGCAACATGTGCAGGAAAATTTCTGAATATTTATGGTTTTAGAATAGGCCGTTACATGCCTCTTGCCTATTGTTAGCCACCTTCCCACATTGTATTTGCCATTTAATAAACAAAGTGTCACTACTGCATAATTATTGAAATTGATCAGAGTATATCCAAACAAATAAAAATCGAGTATATACCGGTATTGGAAGGGGGGGAAATGAAGTTGCATTAAACTTGGAATATTCTGTGAGTCCGTAAGGCGAAAATATGGAAGACACCGGATGCAAAAGTGAATGTCTTCATCATAAAAGTTGATCAAAATAACACGCGACAACCCCAATCCTGACTCGATCCTGCACCGCGCCCCTGCGAACTGCATTTTAGCCGGTCGTTGTTCGTCGATCGGCCGTTCTTTTTAGCCATGCTTGACAAAAGATTAATGGTTAGCTCATGATGCTGGGATCTAAATCCGCTTTGTTAATCTAGCTGGTACTTGATTGAAGCATATCATGACGTGGTAAGCCAGTCTTGTGCAGCCAGTCTTGTGCAGCCAGTCTCACTAAACCTTGATCCTTTTTCTTTCAGCCCACACTAGGAGTAAGCGAAGGAAACGAGGCGTTATTATATTGTATTCTATCACCAGTTGGACCATATTTCAAGACTGGTTCATTCAAACCGGTGTCTTTAATGGCTGACGCAAGATTTGTGCGTTCATGGCACGGTGGTTCTGGTGATAGTAAAGCTGGAGGGTAATCTATATTACACTATGTTGATGCATGCTGCGATACAAATCCAAGTATATATGAGCATATAATTTATTTATATAATTGTTTATTGAACTACAAAAACATATCGGTTAGTCTTATTAATCCTGAAACGTTTTTGTAAAGTGTTGGTCTATAACTTTAACTGAGACAACACGAGTATTTCTTTCTTCTTAAATTATTGACGAAGTGCATGGCTTTGTTAAAATTTTTTGATAACCTATGCGAAATATATATAATAAAAAATGATAAAATTTCACTAAAACATTGTTTTGTGAAAAAGCAGTTTGGTAAATTTTTGGCTGTAATTACGTGACGTTGTCTTTTGAAAATCCAATTTTGAAATTTTTCTTTATATATACTGAATAAACTGAAATTGTTTGTGTATACATAAAAATTCTTGAGGCTTTAAAGGATGTTAATTTCGAGTGAAATTATACGCACTTCAAATTCAAGCCAGGAACAGTTAATGCCACTCGAGATTAAGATCCTTTAAAACCTCTTGAATTTACCTGCATCGAGTGAAGTGCCAAAAATCATAATCGATATACATAAAAATATTTGTTTTAGGAACTATGCTCCTACTCTATTTGCTCAGGCAGAGGCCGTGAAGAAAAATTGTGAACAAGTTCTCTGGCTTTTTGGTGACGATGAACAAGTAATATATACAATATCCTAAATATATAATAATAGTGCATAAGACTCAGGTATATGAAATTAAAATTGTGATATTGCTTCTATAAGTCACCAACCAGGTAAGCTGAATCTTTGGTTTGCTAGTAATGGTCACATGATCCAAATTTGTCGGATTCAAATCACTTCTTCTATAGCTGCTTTATAGTCTGTTGACTTCCAAAGTATATGACAGCAAATTAACTAAAGCCATTGGAGTACAGCATTATCAATACCAGACTACATTCCATACGTCAGAATTGAATTGGATCGAACGAAATTGTATCTTGTGAACTGTTCTTCTGATAATGTATCAGAAGCACTCATGCAGCGATTAAAAACAATCGCTTCCAACAGCTGAGAGACTGCTTCCAGAGAAAAATTAATTTGGAATCTTAAAAGTTTTAATGTATTAACTAATATATTGAATTTTGTTGTATAGATAACAGAAGTTGGTACGATGAATTTATTCATCTTTCTCGAAAATGAGAATGGAGGTAAAAGTTGCATTAAGACTTTTTTAATGGCAAGTAAAGCTTATACGGTTCTTTTATTCGGGTTGGATTTATAGGCCTGGTTTTCGTATCGTTCTGTCCAACTGTTTCATCCAAGTTTTCACCATATAATTTAATGTCTGCATGGATATGAGTAGATTTGACTGAGGAAGAGAACTGTGTGAGTTCACTGGTCTAAAACCAATGATTGTGCTATTTTTGCTGTTTGTTGAATTGAAGTTCACTTCTAAGATATTTTCCTGTAGAGAAAGAGCTTGTTACACCTCCCTTGGATGGTCTTATTTTGCCCGGAGTTACACGAATGGCTATGCTCGATCTTGCCCAGCAGTGGGTAGGTTGCATAAATATACTACTTCAACATTAGTGCAGGAGTGTTTTATCACGTGCATGTATAAAATATGCGGCGAAGATAATTGCATTTATTAAACCTGCCCGGCTATTTACGAGTGTTTTCGTGCCCAAATGCATGCGCTAAATTTTTTTAAAGTTAACATAGAGGTAGCGAAAATAAAATTTAAATTATGTCTTTTTCTGTATTACTAAAAATGGTTAATTTTATAACGTAACGAACATATCTGTATTTATTCAACTCTGAAATTCTTTGAGCCAAGTCACATTTTTTGTTGTTGTCAATTGCATGAATATTTTTTTACAATTTCACTTTTTTAAGGATGAATTCAAGGTTTCCGAGAGACGTTACACAATGAATGATTTGAGGAAAGCCCTCAAAGAGGAAAGGGTAATTATCAAACACGACTCAATTGGGAAACACGTATATAATAATATAGATGGTTTCCAACTTTCGTGAAAATAATTTAAATTTTAACATAAAAATGCCGTATTCAGGGAGTATAAATCTCTGTGCTTGGGCAAACTTTAATGATTTGTTATCCTGACTGCTGTCTTGCAATTATCACCATTGCATGTTTCGCAATTTGTGCTTAGTAACATGCAATGCAATTTAATGTCGTCCATGAAGAATTCTTAATTTTCAACTGTTTCTTACAAATTTAGGTCAAAGAGGTTTTTGGTGCTGGTACAGCATGTGTTATTTGTCCTGTTAAAGACATTCTATATAAAAACGAGGTAATTTATTAGAAATCTTCTTAGAACAATATTCTAATCGTTTTACTAACGCAGTTTCTATTAACGTTACACTACAATCGTTATAATAACTCATTTTAAGGTTCTTCACATACCAACCATGGAAAATGGACCAAAAATTGCCAAGAAATTTTACGACGAATTAACAGGAATACAGGTTGGATACTTTTGTTCCGTAATTTCCATCAAAGACATGCATGCATACTTTATATACTATATTGCAATATTTGCTGGGTATGATTAATTAACTTGTAACGAAAATGTAAAATTCTTTAGGACTTTTGGTTTTTCCTAGTAACATGTCGGTACTATAGTATCCATACTAACTCTCCCGGCCCCTTATATCCAGGAGGATGTATCTTATTACTTATTGCAATTTGCAAATCGTATAATGCCCCCGTTAAAGTAAGTCAAATGGGACGAAATGAAGCCAAAATCAGATCTTTTTTTCATCAAATTTACTTTTGCATCTCTTAGTAATAGATAATTTACATGGAATTCGGAGAGAAATAAACCCAACTTATATCAGACCTGATGAATAAAAACAAAAAAATGCGACCGCTTTGAAATACTCACAACACATGACTGTACAGCTGACATGGGTAATACATGTACTATTGTCAGTATTGACCCCTAAATCTTTGGACAAGCATGAATCACGATAACAATAATTATGGTATTATATTCAAACGACGTTTTCTTTTAACAGTATGGAAGGATTCCAAGTCCATGGTCTGTGCTTGTGACAAATTAGCCACAGACGCAGTGTCGATCCGATGCCTCTATTCATATCTGAACGAAATAATCATGTTCCGAATTCTGGTGTCGTTAAAAGCGAAAACTTCAGTTTATATCTCAATACAAATAGCAGGTTAACTATAGCGATATGCCTCTCAGAAAAAATTAGATCAAGCTGGATGAATCAGTGCCACCTCGATTTTTAGTTCATATTGCACTTCATTATTCTTATTCAATATTCAGTTCACTTCAAAATACAGTTATGTATTGAGAACAGATTGACAAGAGAACATCGCTAAAATAAGCAAAATGTATAATTATAGCAAGCAAAATGTATAATTATAAACTTATTTACTAAAAATATTTTGGCACCAAGTATAAAATAGTAATTATAATCCAAAATATCGTCGTATAGGTGGTGTGCAAGTATCTCATGGGACGTATAAGACAAAGGGATTTTCGCCATGTAAGATGACATTTGAATTGCAAAAGAGGAAAATCCTTTGTTAAAATCATCCAACATGGCGACAATGACGAAACGTGAACACCACCTATATATAAAATATCATTGTTCTTCCTATATATAAAATATCACTTTTCTTCCTATATATAAAATAACATTTTTAGTGCAAAGTTTGAGAAACTTTGCAGTATTGTGATGGGTGGCGAAAATTCAAACGAGTCAGTAAGTCAGAGTCAGTCATAGTGTAAACTTTACGGGGGGTAGATATATTTATGCGTATGGTAACTTTTTGTGTATATGATCAGTAATTTAAAGTTTTTAAATTAGTTTAAATTGCTTTATGTATTAATGCACTATATCCCTTTTGCAAAGGTCACCAAAATATTGAGGAATTTTGACGGTTACTGTAAATTTTGAAGCATTGCTTTTCCGCGGTTTGGGTTTTGTTTTAAAGGATATGCGCAGAATTTCCCCCCGAAACACCGGATTTTTTCTTATACGTCGCAACTGCGCATGTGCCGTCGAGACTTAAACATTATTCACGATGTAAAGAAACGAAGAGCATTGCTTCAAAACATTCCTGGCGTAAAAATCGAGCAATTCTTTGAGAATCTACGCAATTTATCAACTTATGTTATGAATTACGAGCATTCAATTCAACACAAATATAATTGGGAAGGTTTATTCCATAAATAGAGCGAAGAGGTTACGAAGAAACGACGCTGTGTTGTTTATGTATTGATAGATCTCTTACACGAATATATATTATGTCGATAGCAAGTCGATACCTGATATTCTGCGTACAGTACATAAATGATACTATACAAAACGGACATTTTCTGCAGTAATCAAATCATTTTGGCATTATACAGTATTGATTATAAGTATATTGTTTTGTATCGATTTACGCGTCGAAGTTATCCACATCATAGGCATAATATGCACCGCGGTTTATTAAAATTATTTACAACGCAACTATTTTGACTATTTTTATGAAGTGACGGATAAATTGTTGCCATCATATAAATGTAGTGAATGTTGTCGCAGTTGTTTGACGAAGAAAAGAGACTAAACTGAGAAAATCGCGTCCGGTTAGGCTAATAGTGACAGTATTGAGTATCCGCAGCTAACGTAACTTGAGTACTTTGAGTAATTTCCTTTTGATTAATGTTTAACCTAGTTCTTTATATTTTTACTGGCATAAGTCAAAATGTTTATGCCGGGACAAACGTCTGGTTGCTTAGGGCATGAAAACTTTGCACTATCCTTGGATCCCTAGTTTACTCATGCATGCATGCATTCATTACGTCTTAATTTGGGAAAAAGGCGATATTAATAGACGGAAAGAAAAAGAAAGACAAATATTTTACACACAAGGGTAATGTCTTGGTGAGAGTCTATTTTGAACTTCTCTGAGTCTAATGCGGCATGACATTAACAGAGGCGTGGAGCATATAATTATACACACGATTCAACTATTTGAATATAATGGCTTTTCGCTATATATGCCGGAGAAAAAGATAAGATTATCCTTTGCAACATTTTCTTTCAACTCTTTTATTTAAAGGAGACGTCATACCTATATACTCCATTTAATTCACAGTAGCAGATTTAAATTTCTCAATTGAAAAGAAATGAACTGAACATGAACCATCGCGAAAGCAATCGATTTTTTTGCTCGGGACAACTTGCGTTTTGCGTTGAAATTAATTTTGATGACATATATCGATTGTAAATATCCCCAACGAAATCAGTACCTTACACCCCGGGGACACATATTAAATACACACACCATATTAAATAGTCCATATATCTAAAATCTATCTCTGAAAATCTCTGTGTCATCATTTGGCACGCAGCATGTACTCTGCCATACGTTCCTTTTATGCATGATTCTTTTATGCATGTTTCTTCATAATTCATGAAATAGTTTGTACTAATTTTTATGAGGTAAAGCAACAGTGCATAAATTTAGACAAAAAAACCCGCTCAGATCTGAAAAAAGCGTTTTATGGCCTTTTATCATTATCGTTAAGCTAGAAAGATATGCCGGAGATAATCGACATCCAAAGTTTATCATCACAATACGTGATATGAACAAAATTGTAAACATGCTTGTTCAAAAATTGTCACAATTTAAGTTTTTTTCAAACAAAAAACTTCTATGTAGTCTGTGCCAAAGGCTGTTGTATTGCTTCCATAAATAAAATTTGTGAACGGTTGATCTTGTGGAATTTGGAAAGCAGTGTTGCTGTTGTTAACACTACAGTAGGATGGCCCGTTTGGACAATCCATGAACCATATATTGGTGCCATTGGCCGACCCAAATCCAGGACCATAAGACGGGTCGCACCAAATTCCACCGCTGTTATCAGATTGTGGAAGTTTTGTTGGTCGGGCTCCAGTTGGGTTTGCAAGCGTGAAAAGAAAGGCATTTTCATCTTTTACGAAAGACGAACCTAAATGAGTAAAAGATATAATTATCTAGCTACCAAAAAAGACGTTCCATTCATTCGCTTTGAACATTCTGTATTGTACTGCTGCCATGATGATTCGGATGTTTATAGTTAATGTAAGATTTTGAACTGTTTCTTAAATAAAACATGACAAATGACTGCATACCTTAAACAATACACTTTTTTATGTGAAAACTTAATTGTGCCTAAAGTTTAAAAAATCGAGACCCTTTGCCCTTTATTGCCGAAAATTTTTGTTCACGCACCAGGCATTTGCCGTTTTACGTTTTATTAGCGGGTCCCGCATTGTTATATGAGCAAAACCTTTGCACCTTCCAATGTATCAAAATGATTCGAAATATTCGAATAAAATTTTCAGTTCATGTTCCATACTCTAATTTGGGATGTGAATGCATGGGAACGCTTGTCCACCACAGTTATTTATTTAGACACAATTATATGATATTCGTAAAAAATTTACCGTCTTGATAAAGTGTAGATGCAGCGAAATAGCCGTGTTTAAACACGGCTATTCAATTTGAAACTGCCCATTGTTTACAGGAGCCTGGGACTCAGGAACTGCAGGTAGTTTAAAGGCTAGTATCTTCAAAATTATTGCACGAAATCAGAAAACGTTTTTTAATATATTAACTAACTTTTTACGTTCTTTTCAAATACATAAAGATCCCATGAGTGATATAGGCACTTTAATGTCTTTGTTTCAGCTCATTTGCATTAGGTTCGGCGCATGAGAAGAGCGGCGTTAACGTTTGACCTATATAGGCTTCTGCTTTGTAATTAAAGTATTAATTAAAGGAGCTAATTACTTGAATTCCATGAAACTTCAGCATACCCTCCAAAAATATTGTTGCCAGCTTTTGCAATGATGACTGTTGGACCCTTATTATCACAATCTTGATGGAAATAGGATGAGTCATATCCATTAACTGACGAGCTATAAATCTGTACCCAGTTGAAAAAAATATCTTGGAAGGGTAGCCATGACAACAACGCGTTTTTTTGCTCCTCGGTCAAGCTGTTAATGATGTAATGAGAATTTTGAAATGATGCTCCCGGCCAAATTTCTTTTTGAACTCCATCGAGTTGATAAAACTCAGCTTCAATGTACAGCTCATTCGCCAGTATCTTGTTTTCGTTAGGATAAATCAGTTTTCCAGTGCGGAGATAGTTCAAGATGTATCTATATACAAGTTAAAAAACATTGCGGAAAGATGATAAAATATATCTGAATACTATTTGTATCATGCGCGTAATAATATATGAATGTTCAAAAAAGATTGAGCACTTTTAAAACAAGACGATTACAAACATCATCGAGTGCCTGGCTAAGTAAGGGACAGTCTTGGCTGAGGGCATGTTTACATGAAGGTACCCAAGCAAGCAGTTTACTCTAGTCTTGTGTATTTTTTTAGTTTAATAAACGATGTAGCTTCGTCTGTTTCAAAAACCGCGACCACGCATAGGTAGGTTAACCCTTTCTTGTATAGTTACCATGTAAACAGAACCTGAAATAAGTCGAGCAACTGCCGTGCGCCTATGCAGACTCATTTGAATTTTTATATAAGAGGGGTAATTTCGCAAAAACATCTGCCATGCATGGACCTCATATCTTTTTAAATATAAAAAGATCAAGAATTGCGGAGCCAATATACCTAATTACAAAGAAACAGTAATTTTTATTTAAGATCATTTAAAGAAAATGGTCAACGTGTGCGGTGCAGCCTGGCCAACAAGATTCATCATAATATAACATTTATAGTACGTGCGTGCTGATTGGTCGAGAAGCGTGTTTCTATAACTATATAGAAACACGGAAAATATTTTCTATTTCTTAAAATAAAGACTGGAAAGATTTTAAGGTATTGAAAGTATATAATACGTTCTTGCCAGCAATGTGATTAACAACAGCATGCGCTAAGAGCAGCCCTTTGGAAACACTCAATCATCTAGAATCTTTTGGTTGATGCTAATAGACATTTTCAGCTTGTATGCAAATTAACCCGTTTCAAGTCACATGGTCTGAAATGGTTCAGTTTTATTTGCTATTCCATGCATGGTATACCATAATTTTAACCGTTTGGCGATCAACCTCGTACCCAGGGTTTTCCCTCTTGGGGAAATCCCTGGGTACGAGACTACGAGGTTGTTTCGTGATGACGTTTCTTGCCTCCAAAGTTGAAAAACTTTGAAAAACTACCTTCATATTTGGCTTTAAAGATGGCGGCCAAAGTTATAGCGTTCCACGTTTTATTGCTGCAGTTCACTGAGCAGGATAAAGCGGAAGTAGCGAAAGTATAGTTATCATATTACAAGGAATCTGAGAGAACATCAAGGAATTATTTTTTGACGGATTGGCCATAACAGTAAATTACAGCACAACATATAAATTACGACATTATGTCGTGACAAATGAAAACAAGCTTTTATCGTTTACTAACTGAGAAAGCGAAAAAACAGCTCCTTTCTCTTTTTCATATTAGTCGTAAAATGCTGCGTGTGAACTTGTAGACGCCTCTATACTTGTATTAAAACTGAGTTTTGCTAACGGAAACTGGTAGCCCGAAATGCACTCCACATGTTCATATGTCGCCAATAACAACCCCGTATTGAGCAATGCGTGACCGGAAGTATAGTTGTAGAAATATTACCAGGAATTTGAGTGAATACCCAGAACTGGTCAGGGAATACCTCGACTACCAGTACATTGCCTTAAACTTCTGCTTTATTATTATTGATTACTAGTGGTAATCACAGATTAGTGATGTGCGTTCGAAATGTGTTGATTTCGGTTTACCAAAAATTTCGGTTTTAAAAACATTAACATCATTAACAAAAATGTTAACATTACAACGTCACAGCGTATGTGATTAAAAGGTTACCCGCAAAAGGAGTAATCTAACAACAGTGATGGCTCATATGCTTTCATTAACAACAAAATGTCAAAATAGAGCGAGCACATGGTCTTCAGTTACTATGACGACACGTCAGAACGAGGAAAATCTCGATATGACACGGCTAGGAAGGGTTCTCCGTCGTCGAACGCAATAAGCTTTATTATTGCGATACATTGAGATTTTCTCAATATGCTTTAACTTTGCTATCGAAAGCTACAATGCATTCGTACAATAGAATATTTACTGCTCACCTAAAATGAGTTCCGTCTCTGTCAATAAAATATGCGCCATCTTCTTCATCAGGTTTCACATCAAATCGTTCAGAGAACATGGCGGCCAACATCGAATCGGGATCTTTCACTAGTGTTTCAAGCGATGTCTTGAATATTTGTCCACCAACGTTTAGTTTGACGTGTTTCTTGAAATGTACGCTACCCAATTTCTTTCTCATAACTTCGAAGGTCGCTCGTTCTTCTTGCAGAACTTCAGCTTCTTCGTCAATCGTGCTTTTCAAGGCTTGAACAGCTTGAAGAGCATCTTCAAGTTTTGATGGAATGTCGATTTGCTTCCTTTTAGTCCCAATGGAAGTTTGTTTAGCGTTATGCTTTTTCGTGGACATGTCGAAATGGTAGTTGAAATGATAATGTTCAGCAGTTCAGGTATATTATGGTAGACACGGTGTTGTGATTGTTGTCAGCGCAAACCTTCGATCGTATTTGCTGAATTCCGTGCTCCATATGGCAGGAAATTTTCCTTATAAATGGATTTTCCTCGCGTTAACTCCGGCGCACCGCGCGCGTGCCAGTCTTTTCAATACATAGCTTATGAACATAAACACTATAAGTTAAAAATGAAACGAGACTTACCTGCAAGTGTGTGATTGCAATTCTATGAGTTATTGGTAAGGAACTGGGGAGTCGCACGAGACATGCATGCGCAGATTGAGTAATCAGTATCTGAAGTAGCTGTGATTGCTCCTGGTCATGTTCGCCGAATGACGTCATAGCAGGGTCAAAGGTGTGGGGTGGAAAAATCCGATCACTGTCGCGGTTGACGATGGTGTAGTAAAATTAAAATGTGATTAGTAAAAGCCGAAGTTGTCTCATCTATGCCATTAACTTGATTTAATTAAGTTAATATCTTTAATACAGGTCACATGACATGCAAACGTGAACCAGCACACTTCCTTTTTTTCACACTGATCTCATTTTTGAACAATCTGGACGGTCAATGTTACGGTACCGCCGTCCGTAGAGCCTGATTTCTTGCATAAACAGGATGTGACGTCATTTTTTGTAATACTAAAATATAATAAAAGTGTGCTGGTTCACGCTCCCCTCCCCAAAAAAAAATCACATCTACTACTTTCAAACGGGTCAGGTAATCGCTCTGACTCTTGAACAATCTCTTCCTCGCACGTAGACCCACAAATACCCTCTTTGAGACATGAAATTTCCGGAACAATCTTGTCTTCAATTTTTAATGTGTCATCAACCTCGAAAACGATAAAACGGGATAACTAAAAACAACCAATCATTGCATATGATATAGATTTGGACGTCTAGGATCGTTGAGTCTTATGAAAATTAAAGATGAGGACGCTCAATCGTTCTTCTTTGTTTAACTGAGAATGAAAAAAAACAATGTCGTTATTTAATTAAACACGTTTACAAACTTCCATTCAATGGGCCCCTCAGGGTTACAGTTCATGAAGCGTATGAAATTGATGCAATTGTTTAACGAGGACATTAAATTCAATTAAAGTAATGTCATGGCATATAAAGGGGGATGAATCGAAAAAGAACTACTGACAAAACTCAACATCCCATCCATAAACCTGGACATTTTTGGATGTCTAAAACCCGACGACTACATCCCATGGTTACTTGCTGAAACAAATGACCTCACATGGATGGAAACCTGCGGTAAACACTATGAAAATAACAACAACAACTACAAACATTGTCCAAAAGCTGAACTGAAAATCTTTAATAGATGGTTGAAGGTATAAACAATCCGTAGATATATGGATAAAAGATAATAAAAAGACATGTGTAGTCTAAAGACATAGTTGTATATAATTGTAGATAAGTGTATATAGTTGTAATAAATATTTTTTAATGATTGTATCAGTTCATACATGTAATCGCTCTGAAAACCAATATATCCCTTAGCACGTCGATTGTCATAAAAAACCATCCTGTAAATGAATAAAATTCTGACTCTGCCAAACTGAGATGTCTCTTTGACTCTCTGAAAACCAATATATCCCTCAGCATGTTGTGAACATCGGCACACATGAAAAAACTCGCAATTCTCGCAATTATGTACTTTGTACAATAACATTTCCCGTAACATTATAATTTAAAGGTAGACGGGTAATGTCACGGTAAAGAGTCTTAACCGCATCTTGTATTGCTTTGTAACTGTGACTCCTTGTGTACATTCCATAAAGTTTACTTTCAATTTGAACAATAGAGTTACAACTAAACATACCCTTTGGTAACCTCAGAACAATCTTATTATTGCTGCCGAGCCTCAGCGAGGCAGCACACTATTTGTGACGATTGCTCAGGATTTGCCAGAGTTCACTCGACTCAGTCTTTTGCGCGGATCTATGTGAACTGAAATCTGGACCCTGTGTCTGTCTGTCTGATGGTCGTAATTCCGGGGAACAGACCTTCCATGATTTTTGGGGGGAGCAAACAATACCTCTGATCACGTACATGCGCATTTTTGGAATGAATATATTTCCAAGTGGTCTGGTTGAGCTTTTTAAAACTTTTTAGCAATTTCTGGGGTAACCATGGCTTTATTTCTTGCTGCTGATTTTCATCAAGGCAATGAACGTTTTAGTGTTCATTCTAGAGGTAAGCAGTGTGCTTTATTTATGAGTTTATCGGCGCTTCTGACAGCCCGAAATATTCCATTATCCTCGTGGTCGAAGATAACATTTAATAATGTCTTATTGCAAGGGGACAAATTATATTTAAAAGCGATTAATAGTGTTAGATGCAGGTATGGATGCTTTGTCTGTAGAGAATTTACCGAAAGTTATTAGCGTTTCATCTCCGTGTACAAACATGTCAAACGACTTTTCGTACGAGATCTTGTCAATGATCGACCCAGTTTCACTTCATTCGCCTTTACACGAAAATGTAACTAAATTGCCAGCTAGTGATTTACATATTGTAGTGGAGCCTTTTGCGGTTGAAAATAATACAATTCCAGCGACAAATGAGATACAAATTGCAAATTACAAAGTACTATTTCCATTCAGTTGCCAGCGGATTTAAATACAACATCACCTATGATGGTAACTGATATTGATTGGTGCACCCATTGTGGTGGAGCCCATTGAGGCACCAAGCAACACTGATTCTCCTTGCAAAGCAAGAAATAAAACTCAAATTTGCTGTATAAATTATAAAAAAAGAACTTCAAGGTCTTGTTATACCAGATTGAGAAATTGAGTCATGTTACTATGATATTCACACAGCACTTCTCAATACATTTATAAATGATTGTTTTGTTATTTTAATACTAGAAGGTTATATGATGGCCTTAATAAAGCAAAGAGATAATTTTTATATATTTGACTCACATGCGAGAGACTTAAATGGAATTCCTCATCCCAGAGGCACTGCTGTGGTTATGACATTCACTGATATTTTAGAGTTGGAGCAATATTTGTATTGTTTGTCAAAGGAACTACATGCCAATTCATTTAAGATTGTTCCTGTGCAATTGAATATGTGCAAAATTTGTAATAAAAAGACTAAATTAATGAAAGATCAAGAATACCAAAGAATCAGGCGTTCAATAGTAAATGAATGTGATAAACAAGCCAGACATAACAAAGCTAATGAATATAATAAAAGAAAGCAGTCAGAGGAAAGTGACATTCAGAATCAAATCAGACTTAAAAATTATAGAGAGTCTAAGAAAAGAAAGCAGTGAAAAGGAAGATGACAGCCAGAAACAAACTAGACGTCAAAACAATAGAGGTTCATTAAATACAAATAAAGTAAAACAATAAACCTCAAATCGAGAACAGTGAAATGGTAATCCTCGAGAATTTTTTCCATGACGAAAACATGATTTACTTTTCATTTCAAAAATTTGTAGTTGCTTTTCATATTTTGCACAACCAAACAGTTCAAGATTAATGCATTCAAGAGAATAATAAGAACATAAATCCTTTTCAATATGCCCACCCTTAAAAGCAAAAACAAATGTATTATCTGAAAAATTCCGTTTAAAAATATTATGAAATTCATGCTGAGTAATATCAGAATGAGAATACTTTTTTCTTAAAAATTGTAAACCATGTATTCTGTTTGAAACATATAAAACTGATGAAAAATCATTATCACTCAAAAAAACACCAGGGTGATAAACATAATAAGTATGACAAATCAATCATATCACGAACAGAAAAAATGCTGACCTCGGCATAAAGATACCTTTCACTAATTCTCCACCAATCAGTATCTATAATATGTGTCACTCTCTTTAAAATTTCTTCTTTCCTTTCATTGATGTCTTTAAGTTGAACTACTGAATATTTATTAATATGTTCACAAAAATTGATTGTTTACCCTATCATTTAATTCTTGAGCGTATCATAACCTTTCAGGACAACATGTTCCGGCCTCTGCATTCACAAGTACCACATACTGAAAATAATGTCTTCTATTAATCTGCTTTTTTTTGAGCCAAACAATAAGAAAATCATTTTCCTTTTTTTTCCGATTCATAACTTTACTATTTTTACATTTTAAAGTTTTCTTAGCGGCAACATATAAATGACAAATCCGACATCGTCTGCGTAATTTCATAATTGCAAGGGTAATCTTTGTCAGTTTTTAGATTTTTATGATAAAAAGCTCCCCACCAAATAAGCGACTAACACTTGTTTCCAAAGCTACTGCCATTTACGTTCGAGCATGATGCATGAACTATTTCACGCGTTTGTTCACGTTTGAAATGTGACGTTCTATAATTAATTCTGATGCTTTGTCCAATGAAATTAACAAGTTTGAGGCATGAACTGTAAACAAATATGACGTCAAAGAAAACGTTTCGGCCACATTTTGGCGCGTTTGGTAGCTTCTTTAGCAGGTTTCCACGTTCTAACATTTTTTAAGATGGACAATAGTCACAATACGGAACTGGATCTTCAAGTGCAAGTGCAAATTGGCGAAACTCGAAGAGTATTTTTCGTACAGCAGCCTAGCAATTACTTACAACTGGCAAATGCTATTAAACGAGAAATACCGAAAACAAAGTTCATGGATTTTAGCCTTCAATATGAAAATGACGAGGGTGAATACGTTATTTTGAACAGCGGCGATGCTTTATGTTTGCGTGTTGCAATAACATCGGCAAAAAATATCCCACGGACAGAAATACGTCGTTTGAAACTAAGGGTATTCGAGGGCTCATCTCCAAGTATCGACAAAACTGAAACGAAGAAAACTGCCAACGAAAGTGGCTTTGCCCCTCGTAAGAATAAGATTGGGCAAAGTCATACGAGAGTATCACTCGAATACAGCAAAGTGCAAAGTTCTAAGCCTAAACTATCAACAGGCAAGAGTAATGCTGTTGATACGTTTGATGAACAATTTCATGGCGAATTATCAAATGATTCTGATGATGACACTGACAGCAATGACGATTTGTTTGAAGGGAAAACACCGCTTCAAAGATACGTGTTAAATACGGAGAAAAAAATACAAGAAAAGCAGGTGTTATTTACAA